CACACCCACTAAATTCATTTAGTACTATGAAATTGACGAGATATATATATATATGATAAAAATATTCTTTTCTAATGTAAAAACTATCAATAAGTGAGAAACTAATTCTATGAACTTAAAATGAGTAGCGTAGAAGTCGTTAACTCGGTCCGACTAGTAAACTTCTTCTCCAACTTTCAACTATTAAATTTATTAGTAGAAGCCTCCAACTATCCAGATAAAATAGGTGAATAGGCGTATTCTCTCAATATACGGCTATGTCGCACATCCGTCCATGTACCCAAATTCAGCTGCTTTCTCCTCCACACCCTTCCAAGCACCCACATTCAGCTGCTGCCGTCTGCACCCTTTCAAGCACCCACATTCAACTGCTCCCGTCTGCACATTTCCAGGCATCCACATTCAGCTGCTCCCCTCTGCACCTTTCCGAGCACCCGCAGTTAGCTGCGCCCTTCCCCACACCCACACACACTCATATCCCACACCCATCCACATCTACCCTAATAAATTTAATAGTTGAAAAGTTGAATAGTGGAATAGTAGAATGAATAGTTGAATAGTTGGATTCAACATTACTACTATTACACGTATGCGTTAATTTAGAAGATTGCATTAAAGCAGTTTTGAAATGGGTCTCAGTTGATTTAAATGATTTCTTGAAAGCACTTAAGGAATGCTGATTGGAGAACGAATGCAGCAGTATATCGTTGTGTCAACCCACACCCATTTATGAGATGTAGAAGAAAAAATAGAACATGATTACAAAATTATAATATGTTCATGACGTAAATTGTTATAATAATATTTTTGTACCTCACATGATCGTACAAATCAAATAAAATCCTTTTGCTTATTGTTATTAGTTGAACAAAATAATATACAACCATCCTTTCAATTCATGAACAAACAGTATAAGAATAGTAAAGAGGTCTTAACTTTGATGATATCAACAAGTATTATTGAAAACAAAAATTTAAACTTAATGTCAATTTACGAAAAAGACATATTTAATAAAGAAAATAGTTTTACTCCGTAGTTTTTCATAATAAAATAAGCCAATAAAATAAGGAAGACTTATGTGATATAAAAAAAATAATGCTTTATTCAATTGACCAAATAGATAGGATATAAGATCAAGATTTGTTTTGCAAAATAATCAGTCATTATGCAATGAAGAGAAAATAACAAACATTGACCTTTTGAATATTTATCATATTTTTATCATGATAAATTGTTCTTTGAAGAAAAAGAAATTATAAAATACTTTTTTGTCTAAATAAGAAATTTTACATGTTGAATTAATAAGAGTGCAAATATTCATATCGAATTTATTTTTCAAAATCTTTTTCTCACTTCGTAACAACTATTATCAACTGCAACTTTATCTTATAGAATCTTATTTTGTCATATACTTTTAAAATAAAATGTTAAAATAACGTGATATACCTTTTCTTTTTTGTCTGTTTCTTATTTTGTCATTTGAGTATACTTTCTTTTGTTTTATTGTGATAAAAAAATAAGATTAGACAAAATGGTCATAAAGTCATGGCTGTTCTCGATTGTTTTATTTGAAACTTTCATATACGTATATGGATGGGGACCAGTTGGACATAGTACAATTGTACGTCTTGCTCAAAGTCAGTTAAGTGATACAGCACCTGAATGGATTCTTTCACTGACTCCTTGGCATTGGCATGGAAATTTAAGTGCACTGGCTTCATGGGCGGATGATATACTTTATCCTAATACAAATCCTACTGGTTACGATAATTGGCAATGGTCTCGACCATTACATTATATAAATATACCTGATTGGAGTTGTAATTATAACCATGAAAGAGATTGTGTTGGTGATATTTGTGTATCTGGTGCAATAAAAAACTATACTAAACGATTAGAAACTGAATTAGATGATATTCAACAAACAGAAGCATTATATTTTCTTATTCACTTTGTTGGAGATATACATCAACCATTACATACAGGCTTTGCAAGTGATCGTGGAGGAAATGATGTTAAAGGTAAAATATAGATGAGACATTTAAAAATAAAAATTTGTTATTATTTAGGTCATTATATGAACGGAACATACTCTACAAATCTTCATTCATTATGGGATAGTGGTTTGTTAACAACTCGTCTTCATCGAAATTTTCATTCCAATGCATCTCTCTATTATGATCATATTTATGAATTAATGATTAATCTACCATCTGAGGACAATGATAATAATATTGAACAATGGATAGACGATAATATAAAAATTGTTTGTGAACACATTTACTTTGACGAAAATAATGTAACTATGAATGCAACGGCTAATTTTACATTAGGAGAAGTATATTATAATCGAAGTATATCAATAATTGAACAACGTCTTGCTCGTGGTGGTCGTCGACTTGGTGTATTACTTAATCAATTGGCAAAAACACGTCCACAAAAATCATCAGATCAAAAAAATAAATTATCTTCTAGTACAATTGCACTTATTGTTGTACTAGTTGTGGAAGGTGTATTGGCAATTGTGGTGGGTATCATTTTCTTTATTCGATACAAGAAAAGATCATCGGAACCAAATTCATTTTCTCTTTCTTCTACAAAGGAATAAAATTATACATATAATTTCTTTTTAAATAAATAAATATGTAATATAAATAAATTTTAATTTTTACTAAAAGTAATCAACCAACTATCAAGATACGCAATACTGTGTATATCATTGCTATCAAACTGGTAAGAGTCAAAGTATGAATACGATGATGATGATGATGACAAATCTTAATTTTTTAAAACAATAATGATATTATTGCAGAGTGACAGAGGGATAAAGCTGTTATGACTAAATAACTACATTGTTTGCTATTATATTTTATGTTATCATAAATCAATATAAAAAAACCGTAAAAATATGATCACAAAATATTTAAAAAAATACTTTCATGATTGATATTTTATTTTATTAAAAATTCTTACATAAATAAAACTAAATTATCTTTCTTTATAATCAATGATTTCAATTATTATCTGCATTCATTTCGATATTTTCTTGTTTTTTTTCTTTTCGTTTGGTGTATGCAATAACAATAACAAATATAACTATACTGGTAAAAATAAGAACATTTATATACGTTAAAATAATCATTGCTAGACCACCACCCATAACTGTTGATCGACAATAATTTGTTGCTGTTTGATTATTAAATTGTACACCATTTGAATAAGCTCCATAAACACGCATTTGAATAAGAATAAAAAAAATAAATGTAATTGCACCAAAAGAAAAACTAACAAGACCTTAATAATAGTTAGAATCAATTTTATTTCTTATGATAATTAAATTAAAACATACCAAGAAGAATTTTTGGAGTTTTACCAGAAATATCACTTTGTTTGTCATCTATTGAAGCAATCATTGCAAGAAAACCATATGCTGTGCCTAAGAAAAAGAGTGCAAATATACCACCAATTGCCAAAAGTAAAGGTAGATCAGATGCCGCTCTACATATTTTATTAGCATCGTGTCCATCGTCAACAACTTGATTAAATCCAATTGAAAGTTGAATTAAAGGAATAATAAAAGTTATTACACCACATATACCTATAATCAAATGTCTATTCATTCTTTTTTTTTCGATTTTACTTCGAAACGCTTCACTTCACATACAATGATTCAAATGACAGGAAAAAAAAGAGAGATGAATGAAATCAAGTACGAAACGAAAGCATGTACGTAGGAAAGACATGCGTATAATAACCAAAGATAGATACATACATAGTTGATGACAAGAATTAATACATATATATTCAAAGATAAAAATACAAAAAATTTTTTTTTTGTCATTCTATCATATTTATCTGTTCTTTACACGTATGATATTTAACTATAGATTATTATACTAATGAAGCACCTATATAACTAGAAAATCAATATAATTATAGATGTATTAATATGATGCAAATATGACTCATATATTTGTATTGAACTCAATTAATAAGTTTTTTTTCCTTATTTTTCTATTTAAGAATTATTTTCTAATATCACTTTTGAAGTTTTCGGAAAGGCGAATCTGATAGACACTTTTGAAATATGAAATAAATTTTTCTTCATTTATATTTATTGATGTCTCGTATATTTCGTATATCTGTCAGCCAACTTAATGGTAATGTTACTATCATGAAATTCTACTTTGCTTTCATTAGCAATTAAGATTCGTTGGATCTAAAATTTCTACACTTATAGACTCTATTGATTTCCTTCCCCTAAATATTTAGTTTAAAAAACGATAGACAGTATTATCATATACATAAATCGAAAATAAATTGTTCTTTATTGATGATGACTACAGAATGACATAGCCTGTTAATATTTTCATCATCATAAACTATATTATCTTGATAGAATACTTCACTAAAAAGACTATTGATTGTATAGAAGAAAATATTATGAACAGAATATCGATGAAATTAAAATGAACAAAAAAACAGATGACAAATTCTTTAAACTTTCTGAATATATTGATAATTATTACTTCTTGAATTTAAATGATACAATATACAATCATCAATTTTTGATTGCGGTAGATTGAATTATACTTTGCATAAGAAGCGTTGATTTTGACATTAAGAATACTTTGATCATCCTGAAAAGTGAATAAACACTATGTTTTATTATATAAAAATTTCACGTTGCCATTGTATGATCGGAAGTACTCCTGTCTTTTTTTTTCTTCCGTTCTCATCATACTATAGAGGAATGAAAATAAAATCATACAGAAAAATATTCTCTTCGTTATTAAAACTTTTTTAATGTTTATAATATACCAGAATGATAAAAAAAGACTTTATTCAATAGTAAATATAGTATAAATACGTCGAAGATTTATAATAACTTGAATGAAAGAACTAACATAGATAAGATCACTATGATCTCAATATTATATATTCTTCATTATATATTTCGATTATCTATCATAAACAACGGCAACGTTTGAGGCATATTAAAAACTTAGAAATTATCAAATCAATGTTCTTTCATGCATAGAAGTTAGTAACATTAGAACATGGAAAGTGTTAGGGCATCTTTTTTTTCTTGATTTTCTCTATAACGTTTTATGCTTTTACTTTTGTCTAGAGTGCAAACTAATGAAAATCAAAAAGTAAAAAAAAGAATATAGATAAATAATATATTACATAATCGTTTTATCCAATATCATTGAGAAATAGCAGTAAAAACGCCAGAAAGCTAAATTTCTTTTGTGAAAAGTGAAATTTCATCTTATAGAAAGGAAATTGGATAATTATTAAAAAAAAGAGCAGGTGTTGTTGTCAATGTTTATTTAGTACAATACGAACGATAACAATCAGAACCCCCAACAATTCACACGCATACAATCTATGGTTGACATAAGTAACATACGGAATGGTATGGCCGGAAGCGCAAACATAACGTTTGTCGTCGTCACTACTCATTGTCGGAAAGCGCTACTCAGGAAAGAGAGACGACAATTGAACGTGTCAATACACTACTTGCCGCTCATTCATACGTGCAACATACTTGAATTAGCGAACAAACAATTATGTGGAAAGCAGCTATTAACCATATTGCGATCAGTATTATTGATAATAATAGTGACAAACAGGTATAGATAAAATCAGATTTGATATAGATTAATCGATCTATACCTGGAGGGAAAATGAGTGATACTAAGAGAAAGAAACAGACAAAGCATTTTCTCATAATGAGAAATCATATGTGAGTGAAAGAAAAAAATGAATTATGCAGCTCGTCGTTCTTACTCCAATTATAGATCAGTAACTAAAACTTCAGTGAGATTTATTATCGAGCTTATATTTTTTTATTTAATACATAAAAATCTTCTTTTATATTTAGTTTGGACCTAAAACAAGTGATGTATCGCATCTACCATCTTTACCAACTCAATCAAGCCTCGCTCCATTAGTTTCATTTGACGAAAATGGTGATATTCCACTTCCTGTTGTAGATCAATCATCTAATGCTATTCTTCCTTCTACTTCTCGCCATAATTTTATTGTTCATTATTGTTGTAATTGTTGTTCTTGGAAACGATTTCGAAGTGATTTTTGTCATGTTTTCTCACACTTTTGCTTTTCTCAACTTGGTCTATCAGCTCTTGTTTTTATTTATATTGCACTTGGTGGTCTTATTTTCTATACAATTGAATCAAAATATGAATCACGTAAAAATGAACAAATAAAATTGGAACATTCACGTGGTATTCGTAATATTCGTTCTATAGCTACTACTGAATTCAATTGGATGTTAAATGCATCATTTGAATTACGATATGCACTATGGCGTGGAATGATGTCACGTAAAGATGGTTATGATAATATTGGATGGCGTGTACATGTTAATAGTGAAAGATTTGATAAATTAATTGATGATGAATTAGCAAGAATGCAAGCTGAACAAGAAAAATTATCTGATAAACATGATTCACGAACAGATACATCATATAATCAAAAATGGACTTTTTCAACAGCTATGCTCTATTCAGCAACAGTGATAACTACAGTTGGTTATGGACATATAGCACCTAAATCAATTTTAGGCAAAGTAATGACATGTCTTTATGCTATGTTTGGTATTCCAATTATGATTATGTGTTTAACTAATACGGGTGATTTACTTGCTTTTTTCTTCATTAAATATTATTCATTAACAATTCATTTTATTCAACGAATGATTAAACGACGACGTACAAAATATTCTCGTGAAGTCTGTTCAAAACATTGTGTTTTTATTAGAATAATGAATTTATTATATTTATTTATTTTTCTAGGTAGATAATAGTTATATAGAACATGTACCAATAGCAGCTACACTCGGTGTACTGGCATTATATATTGTGGCTGGTGCTGTTTTATTTTCTCATTGGGAAGGATGGTCTTATGTTGATGGTGCTTATTTTTCATTTATTACATTTACTACTATAGGTTTAGGTGATTTAGTACCTGGCAAAGGAACATTAACTGAAAATAAAAATGGAAAATCATTTTTATGTGCATTATATCTTCTTTTTGGTCTTGTTCTTACGGCTATGTGTTTTAAATTAATGCAAGATGATTTATTTGCAATTAAAAAAAGAGTTTTTACTCGTTTAGGCTTTGAAACTCAACCTAATGTACATAATCATCGTCAACCACATGTAAATGAAACTATGAAATGACATTTTAAATTTGATACTAAATTTTCATATTCATTTTATGATTTATCTAAAAATAAAGAAGCAGAAAAAAAAGAGAAATCATTATTATTTTCTCATCAATGCATTTCACAAGGTTATCATGATGCATAATTAAAAGAAAACTGAAAAAGAGTGCAATTATAATTATGAAGAACATCGTACTTTTGAAGTAAGACGATATTAATGATTTGATTTCTAACATAAAACTTTAACCAAAAATGTTCAAACTATAGTCATTATGATTACATTCTGTTGAAATTAATTGTTCATCTTACATGAAGATTATAGTTTTTTTCTATTTAAGATATATCTTGACAAGGAATTATTAAATATTTTAGATTAATATAAAGAAAAAAATCTATATGTATTTCTGTACTAAGTGACGTATATATATAAACAGACATATATATATATATGCACTTTATATTCATATATCCAGGGAAAATTATAGAAGAGAAAGAAAAAAAAATACAATTTATTGTATTATATAGATATCCAGTATATCCAATACCATCTGATTTTAATGTCAATTATAGTCCGCTGATTCGTACATATATATCTATCGGACAATTTTATACATTCTTATATTGTTTCTTTATTTTAAACGTGTGTGTGGGGTCTTAACTTCAGTATAAAGAAATTTACTGTTCATAGACTATATACTATGTAAGTATTGCTGTTGTATTTGAAAATCTATAGAGATACATCTTTTTTTACCAACTGATTAATTAACTTTATTATAATTCTTTTTTAGCTCATCATATACAATATATCTCGGGTAAACAAATTCATTGTATTATTTATCTTATATTTTTATGGCTGAAAAACGTATTTTAATTTTGGATGATGGTCAAATAACTTCTATTATTGCTGAACATTCATGGTCGGATTTTATCGATGATGACGATGATGTTGATTTATATATTTTTACTAGTACAGGTGCACTATCTGAAAAAGATAAAACTTGTTCATTTATTAAAGCTTATAAAGAAGTACCACATCCAACATCAGATGGTGGACTTGAATTATGGGCATTTCATATGCATCGACAATATACATTTACTCATATTTATACGAAAAATGAAGATTTAATTATACGAGCTGCATATTTACGTACATTACTTAATATAAAAACAGGTTTATCAGCTGATCAAGTATCAGCTTATCGTGAAAAAGTTCATATGAAAGAATTTGCATCTGAAGGTGGTTTTCCTGTTCCACCATTTACTCGTTTAATGTCACCTATTGATCTTATTTGTTTTATTGAAAAACATGGTTATCCAGTTATAGTTAAACCTACACTTGGTTGTGCTGTAGCAGGTCTTCATTTAATATCGAATGAAGATGAATTACAATTATTTCTCTCTTCAAAATTATTTTCATGTATTGATATTAATCAACGAATGGATTTAGTTGGTGAATTAATGGTTGAAGTATTTATGCATGGACGTATGTTTCATGTTAATGGTATAGCTATTGATGGTCAAATTATTCATGCATGGCCATTTGCATATCTTCAGACATGTTTTGATTTTGCAAAACATGGATTAGCTTACGGGAATTCATCAGTTCCTCAATCAGATCCATTATTTAATCGTTTATATAATGCAGCACAACGTCTTTTAAATATTTTACCAACACCACATGATTGTTTAATATTTCATTTAGAATTATATGAAAATCTAGATGAAAATCGTTTACCTGGTGATGATTTTGTATTATGTGAAATCGCAGCTCGTGCACCTGGTGGTTCAATTACGCATCTTATTGATTTATTAAGTTTTCAAGATAATGAACATAATTCATTTGCTCGGTTAGATTTCCGAGCAAGTGTTTCTTTACCTTTTTCACTCATCACAAAAGAAGAAACTGAAGAACAAGTTATTACTGATCTTGTTATTCCACGTAAATCAGGAAAACTTATGTATATACCTCGTGAATGTCCTATACGAAATTTAACATATATACCATTAGCAAATGTTGACAAACCAACAACTTATGATACATATGATGTTAATTCTATAAATAGTGCTTGTCGTCTTATAACTTATTCAAAAACAATGAAGGAAGGAAAAGAATTAGTGGAAAAAGGTTTAGCATGGTTTGATAGTGCATGCATTGTTACACCAATTGATGAACCTTGCTCAGTTTCATTAATTAAAGAACTTCATCGATATTTAAATAGAAAGATTTTCATTTAAATTATTTTCTTTTTTTTTACAGTGCTTTTTATAATTCTTATCAAATAAATAAAATTTTCTGTACTTAGAGAAGAGCAGATTCTCTAAATAATATCTTATTGATTTATTTTTACATCAAAAGTTTTAAAATGGTTTCTATTTAATTATTTAAAGCAGAATCAATAGTATCATATCTTAATACATTCTTAATAAGATCTAAGACTTAAATAATTGTTAAAAGTAAATCATATATGTTAGTTAAGATTATTACTTGTTTTTTCTAGGATTACGTATTTGAAATTTGTTAAGTGATCCTGTTTTAATAGTATTGGTAAATCCACTATCATGTTCAAATAAATGTAATACAGTTGAAATTGATAGAACTTTTTCTGTTTCTCATATAGATTGAATTAAAGTAAGTACAGTTTGTTCATCATTCTATATGTTACATGCAAAACTGTCCAATAGTCATTGACATGTGCTGCCATCATAGTTATATATGTACTCATTCGTTACTTCCTTATCCATGTACAAAAATATCATCTTCCATTCACTCATTAATATATAATAGAGAAGTGAAGAAAAGAAACAAAATGAATGTTTCGTTGAATTAGTTACAATCAAAATTATAAAATGTGGTTATATCATCTTTGGTTATTAGGTCAAAAATCGCTTCGTTATGCATGGCGTCGTCGTGCATGTAAATGTTGTCCAAAAATAATATTTGAATTTTTTATTCCAGCCATATTTCTTCTATTATTATTTCTTGTTCGATGGTTACATACACCGTCTCCAACCAATAACAAATCACCATCATCACCGCTGGATCAAAATAAACCTACACAGATTACAATAGCAGAATCTTCGATTGTTCCACAACTTAATTCGAAGCATATTTTTAATTATACATTTAATCATCAATGTCCATCGTCGAATATAAAAATAGAAATTGTTGATAATAATGTATTACAACGTTTGAAAAGTCAATGTCCAAAAAGTAATTTTATTTCATCGTCAAAAGCTCAACGATATAATGGTTATTTTCTACTTAATACAACTTCAGAAAGACATAATATCTATTACCAATGTTCATATGAAAATAAAAATTGGTGTCAAAATATTAGTACTTTAAAAGATCAAGATAATTCAATACAAATTCAACATCCATCCGCATTCATATGTTCCGATAAAAATATCGATGAAGTGAATGACTTCTTAAAGAATTATCTTGCACTTGAATCTCTTTTAAATTCATATAAAAACAAACAACAATTATCAGTTTACACATGGCCATGTTCATCATATCTAACTGATGGTCTTTTTGATATAGCACCTAGTTTTGTCTTAATTCTTATTCTTATTTTTATTGATGGATCTATTCTATTTGGTTTTAATTTACTTTTCCATGCAATAATCGATGAAAAACATCACGGAATTACTGAACTACTTCGTCTTATATCGATTCAACCTATACTTAATAGTCTTTCTTGGTTTTTACGTGTTTTTCTTATACAATTTATAGTAAATATATTTTTAATATTAATATTAAAATCTTCATTCGATGGTGGTATTTATCTATCTTATGTATCACTATGGTTAATTATACCAACAATGCTATTATGGACTATTCAAGTTTTTTCTCGATCTATACTTATTGCTCATTTTTTTAGCAGTAATTTAAAAGCAACTATTTGGTCATGGTTTATTTATATCGTATCATGTTGGCTAGTATTTTCATCATATATACGATTACCATTTATTATTCATCTTATGGCTTCAGCTTGGTTACCATTTTATTCAATAAAACGTCTTTTTATTCTTCTTTTTCGAATTAATACCAATCTAGGTTATACAAGTTATTTAATCAATGAAATTCTATTTATTTGGTGTAGTATGTTAATTGGTAGTCTTCTTATGTGGTTTTTATCGTATTATCTTCAACAAATACGACCAGGAAAATATGGTATTGCACGTTCATGGTCATGGCCTTTAGATTATTTTCGTAATAATCGAATAAGAAATCAAAAGCGAAGAGAAAGTATTGCTATGCAAATGATAGAACCAACACCGGACAGAGATATAACAATTCGTATTGATAATTTAACTAAAACTTATGGTGGATCAAATACTGAACGACAATTAGCTGTTGATCATGTTTCATTTAATTTAAAAAAATCTACTATTCATGGTCTGATTGGTCATAATGGTGCAGGAAAAACTTCAACTATGGAAATGATTTGTGGTTTATCATCATGTGATTGTGGTACAATTGAAATTCATGATAAAGATTTATATGAAAATTTAAATGAACTTCAAACATGTATTGGTTATTGTCCACAACAGGATATGCTTTTTTCACATTTAACCGTACAAGAACAATTAGAATTTTATGCACGTGTTCGATCAAAACAAAATACTATTGATCATAATCAAATTCAACAATTACTTACTATGATGGAAATGGATACATGTAGTCGACGATTATGTCATACTTTATCTGGTGGTATGCAACGAAAATTATCAATTTTATGTGCATTTGTTGGTCAAGCTAATGTTATAGTTTTGGGTAAGAAATTAAAAAGAAACTTAATTAACTTGACGATTGTGAGTTGACCATAGAACATTCATGAAAGTTTCATGATCTAAAACGTTTCTTTCAAATATATCGAAAGAGTATCGAATTCACTTACGAGAACATCTTTAATACATTGTATTTTTATTGTAAAATTATTTAGATGAACCATCATCATCACTTGATCCAGTAGCACGTCGAATACTTTGGTCATGGCTTCGTGAAAATAAAAAAGATCGTACACTATTAGTATCATCACATTTATTAGATGAAGTTGAAGAACTTTGTGATTCAGTTATTATTCTTGATTCAGGAAAAATTCGAGCATCAGGTACAATTCTTGAACTAAAACGACAATTTGGTCCACCTGGTGATCGACTTCATTTGGCTCAAATACCTTCATATATACCAAATGAATGGATTGTTGATGAAAATAATCATTTGGTTCAAATACCTAATCGACAACAATTAATTAATTTACTTGAACGATTAGAACGAGATAATATAAAATATTCTTTAGAAAATACTACACTTGATGATATATTTATTAAATCAATTTCATCATCAGAAGTACCATCAGGTAAAATAAAATTTTATTTCAAAAAAAAAATTATTCTCTTATGTACATATGTATATTTAGAAGAAAATAATGTTAAAACTCAAATAAATACATTATTTGATGCACGAACAAGTACACAACGAAATCATCTATGGTCTCAACAAGCGTTAGGTGTTCTCATTAGACGAGGTCAATTATTCTTAAGACGAGCTCGTCTATTACCAATTCTATTACTTTTATATGTGGCTTATGCTCTTGCATCACGATACATGCCATCATTTACACCATCATCTACGGAGAATATTCGTTATATTATTTCATCTCGATCAAATCTAATCGATAAATTACCATTAGAAGATTTAGATGTAAAATTTACACCATCATTTTATTCAACAGAAGAATTTCAACAGTATCTATTAGGTATATATGATTTTCTATTATAACAAGTAGAAAATATTTGAGGCGATAAGATAATATTTTGCTTTTCATATTCATTTGTTTTATCATTAATAGGAATACATACATGGAAATCGAATTATGGTCGAAATAAAAAAATTGTTGGCATTCGAATATCATCTTCTAATCATTTTGAATGTTATATTCCTTCACCACTTTTATCTAATATAATTACATCATGTTTTCCTATATTTACATTATTTTCTAATCAAACATTTACACCATTACATTTCACTGATATGAAAAGAAGAAATCCATCATTTGAAATATCACCATTAACAATATTTAGTTATGAACCAATGTATTATTGTTTGTATACATTACCACCTGCACTTCAACTATCAATTGTTTCACTTTTGGTTATTTTAATGATACCTGCAGCATTAATTATTCAAGATTATATATCAGGTATTCATTCATATTCACTTATACATGGTCTTCGTTCATCAATTTATTGGACTATAATATTTCTTAGTGATTTAATTTTATGTTTATTATGGCTTGGAATTCTCATTATTATTGCACGTTTTCTTTATGCATCATCATTTAATGGTCGATTTTTTGCTTTAACTCCATTATTTTTTATTGCTAATCTTCCATTTATTTATTTGATATCAAAATTTTGTACTACGCCTGTATTAGGTGCTACAATGATTGTAGTAATTCTTTTAATTGCTCATTTTTTATATACATTACGATTTATAATTGAATTATTTCGAAGTTCTCAAGCTATTACAACAATCATACATAGTATACGATGGTTACTTTTACTTGTTTTTCCAAATGTTAATATATATACATTAATCGTAGCTGTATTACGTCCATATGGATGTCGAAGTGATGATTCAGTATTAAAACAAGATGGTGCTCTTTCTTACGAACAATATTCATATAAAGTACTTATTCATACATCAATACTTATTGCTCAATTTATTATTTATTTCATTCTATTAATTATTATTGATACATGTAGATTACCTACATCACGTCGTCGAATACAAGGAATAATTAATCAACAAGAAGAAGATAATGATGTTGCAGAAGAAAGACATCGAATAGAAAAAATGACTAATGAAGATAAACAACGTGAAGCACTTGTAGTTAATAATCTTTCTAAACGTTATTGGGGATCACATTCTTTAGCTGTTAATCGATTGACATTTGCTGTACCTCATAGACAATGTTTTGGCTTATTAGGATTCAATGGAAGTGGTATGTATATATATAATGAAAAACAATTATGACTAGAAAAACAATTTTAAATAAGAGAACGAATGTTTAGATTTCTTTTTAAAAAATATATTGATATACAAAAGTGTAGCAGTACGATTTCATAGTCTATCAAAATATCTTATAAAAAAATTCATTTATTTTAGGTAAAACTACAACATTTCGAATGTTAGTTGGAGAAATATCAACAACTAGCGGTTACGTGTATAGAAGTAATAACGAATCAATTGGTTATTGTCCACAAGATGATATTGAATTTTCGGGTTTAACTGTTTTACAATCTATTAATTATATATGTCGTCTTCATGGTGTTAATCCATCATTATTAAATAATTTAATATTATCACAATTTCAATTAGAAAAATATCGTAAACGTTTAGTATCACATCTGAGTGGTGGAACACGTCGTCGTCTTCATTTAGCTCTATGTCTTATTGGTTCTCCAACACTTTTATTATTAGATGAACCAACAGCTAAAGTTGATCCATTGTTACGTAATCATATTCGTCTTATATTACAACATCGTCCTCCTGATACATCTATTGTATTTGCTTCACATTCAATGCTTGAATGTGAACAATTATGTGATCGTTTAACAATACTTGTTCATGGAAATGCAAGATGTTTAGGTTCACCACGACATCTTAAAGATCAATATGGTACTGATTATCGTATAAGATTAACACCATTACAAGCATCAATAGATATACCATTGCTTCAACGTGTTGATAATAGCAATGAATATATCTATCCAAAAAGTAGTTTATCAAATTTATTTAAACTATTAGAAAGTTTAGTTCAACAAAATCGTATTGCATCAAATTATACAATACAATTAACTTCATTAGAACATATTTTTCTTGCACTTCAACATCCTATAGATACCAAAGTTTAGTCAATTATTCCAGATTTATATATGCACAAATTTCAATAATAAAAATCAAATTAATGTAAACATCTGTTTTTATCTGAAAAAAATTTGCTTATTGTTCGTTTTTTTGCTCAAATATGTATTGAAAATAAAAAAATTTCATTTTATTCACTTTTCTTTTAATCAGAAGTCTGACTACGAACAAAACTACAGTCTGGATTGCCAGGTAAGGTATCAAAATCAATGCTAACTTGCGATTTCGTTTTTACATTGGCTGTAGCGATTCAGTTGGCAATCCTGTCTAAACTGTTTACGCTACAATTCTATTAGGATCGATATCTAAAGTATAGCGATGCAAAAATTCTAGTATATATATCTATTTATTGTAGTTACTCATAGCTCGAAAAGATCTTTGTATGAAAATGTTGAAATATAGAGGATAATGCTGGTCCAGGTTTTATTATTAAATGGATCGAAAACAAACTCAAGATAAGACAAAGCAAAATACTATATACAACATGATATAAATATGTGTCATTTTGTTCTTTGATATTATTACAACTAACATTATCATTGTTGACAACAACGAACTTTGCCTTATCACTTATTTATTACAATGGTGTGCTGGTTAATAGGTTTAGGAATATTCATTTATATATCCTATCGAGTATACCAACATTTTTATCCAACACCAGATATAGATTCACGAAATAAATATGTATTAATTAGTGGATGTGATTCTGGTTTTGGTCATGGACTAGCTATTGAATTAGATAAACAAGGTTTCAATGTTCTCGCTGGTGTTTATAGTTCAAATAGTAATGATTCATTAGGACAGATACTTTCATCACGTGCAACTATCTTTCAATTGGACATAACACGACAAGAAGATATTGATGCTGCTTATGAATTAGTTAGTAATAAAACTAAAGTACTTCATGCACTTGTTAACAATGCCGGTATTGGTGCAGGTGGATATATTGATTGGATTTCATTAGATTTTATGCGTAGAATGATGGATGTAAACTTTTTTGGACATGTTGCAATGACTAAGAAATTTTTACCATTACTTATAGTTAGACGAGATTCACGTGTTGTTAATATTTGTTCTGTTGCTGGTTATTTAACTAAACCAGGTATGTCAGCTTATTCGGCATCGAAATATGCTTTAGAATCATTTTCCGATTGTCTTCGTCGTGAAATGGCTGTATGGGGCTTACGTGTGAGTATAATTGAACCTGGTTTTATGAAAACAAACATCGTTGAAGGACATGATAAATCGTTGAGTGTATTATGGAATGGTTTATCAGATGATACTAAAGAACGATGGGGTGAACATAATCTTAAACAACAAATTCAAGAAGTTTTAAATAATATATTCATGAAGAGAGCTGAAAATCCTGCCAAAGTAGTACAAGCACTTAAACATGCCGTCATGAATACAGTACCACAAATCCGTTATAGACCTGGATGGCAATCAAGTTATGTAATGTTTCCAATTTCAAGAGGTCCAGCTTGGTTAGCTGATATGCTTATGATTAGACCAAGTTTAAAAGGTACTCCACCTGCTGGTATAAGCAAACAAATTAAAGACTAAACTACAAATTAATTTCATTAGACGAATTAATTACTTTTTTATTTTAATAATAAACATATTATTTTTAATAAAATACATATAGAGTAAAATCTTATTCATTATGTTAGATATATTATAGATGCATCATTCGGTTGTTAATTTGATAAATAGCGACATCTAATATAGTTTTGATATGATTTGCTAGTAGTATTTATCCAACTAATACACTAAAGTTTGTCTCTGTGAATGCTAGCTAATGTATTTTTTTCCCGTTGATGTAAAATATAGCTGTACATAGAATATATTGAATTTGATAAAGTTTTAGGTAGAAGATGGCTGATCGAGCTGAATTCGATCTAGTTTCGGATCGAACATCGTCTTCATCATCAAAATCTCGTCGATCTTATTCTCAAAGAAATGTTTCTTCATTACAACATGAATTAACAAAAAATCGTAAAATGATTAATGTTAGAACATCAACTACAACAGTTCTTAATCGTACACTTAGTTTTAAACCATTGCCAGTAACAAAGTAATATATAATCTTTTTCAATTAGATTTTATTCATTTCTGTGCTTTTTAAGTCCAACATCATTAGCAAATGTCGAAAATACACCAGTGAAAATTATACCAATTAGACAACTTTCACATGATTTTGATACCTCTAGTGCAATGTCATCATCATCACAAGAAATAGTTGAAGAACATCATGAAGCTGTCGAAGAAACTCCTATTAAAGAAGATGATAATGTAAATGATTTATTATCATCAGATATAATGGCACGTGAAATTCAAAGACTCTCTCTTCGTCTTCGTTCTGCAACTCCCTGTAAGAATATTAATAAACTAACATATTCAATACTTAGTAACTTGCTATGTTTCTGGATAATTTTTTCTTCCTATAACTCAGACAATATATAAAATAAGATTTTTATATTTTAATCTAATCTTTATTTTTTTATGTTGAAGTGTATAATGTTCCCGTTTTTGATCATCAATCAAGTAAACCAGCTACTCTTCATCTTTCTCAAGTAGTCAATCGTGTATCTCGTTGTAATTATGTTTTAAGACGTTTTGTACGAGAAGCACAAAAATATTCACCTAAACTAGATGAAAAACGACCAGCATCTCAACCAATAACAGCAAAATCATTTGCATCATTACAATCACATGAAAGTATGGCTTTTTTTTTCTTATTGAAATGTTTCATTTTGAAAAACTTTTAAGAAATATATATTAATCATTTATTTATTTCTATCAAGAAGGTCGACGTCGTTTATTTGTTGATTCGCCTAAACAAAATGCATCTATTACAATCTCTGAACAACATGAACCACCGATAACTCCACGAAAAGCGAGTGGAGTTATAAAAAAATTATTTTCATCACCTTCATCATCTCTCAAACGACCTCTAACATCACCTAACAATAGTTCAACAAATAATGATAAACGACAAAAACTTTTCTAATCTACTTGTTTCTTCTTCTTCTTCTGTGTCTTTTTTGTGTCTTATTAATCCAGTTTTAATCCATTCATCTTATGTCAGATATATAGTATTATATTGGATTATCTTATTCTATAGATAACTAAAACTAAGTATTTTCTATTGAACTTTATATAGTTCATTATTCTATGAAAATTTAATCAAGAATATTATGATTATTATCGTCAATTTATATATGTGAAATTTTTTATATTATGATAAAACAAGCTGGGATTGAACATGATATCTTATATAGTACAATGAGATTCATATAGATAATATGATGAACAACATTCTTTTTTATTATTTGATCATCAGTTAAGTATTTATACTATTTGTTTTTCTAATCTTTTCAGATAAAGATGGTTTGGTTTGAAATTATTCCAGCACTTGTTCTTACTGCAGGTCCACTTCTAGTTGTTGCTGCACCTGTTATGTTTATCAGCAATTGGTATTTTCTCAATGGAAAAGTAAAGATAATATTCTTATCGAATTTTTAATTCATTTAATTTCCTTTTCGTATATGATTAGAAATATGGACCGAAAAATATGACGAAAGATGATCGAGATTATTACATGTATTTAAGAGATCGACGTATTACAGGAAATGAATATTATCCTCGTGTATGTATTTCAATATAGATGATATATTTTAGAAAAATATTTTTTGCCTGATTTTTTTAGGGCGTCGAAGCGATTGATGAACGTCCTACATTGGCCAAACTCCGTAACATTTGGAATATGTAGAATCTTGCATACAACCCTATTCTGTCACTTTTCATTTTTGTTTATTCAACGTTTTTTTGAAATCCCTTTAAATAAATAGATTCGCGCCTTCTCCATGGCAATTCCCATACTATATTATAGAGTTTATAAATATGATTAAAATGTTTGGTATATACAATGTGATTATGTATAACTAATAATAGTTAGATGTCTTTTTCAATGAGAAAATCGAAATATTCTAAACTTGATAAATTCAATATTTGTTTCAATAAATGACAACTATAACTCGGCATGGGCAACGTACTGTAAGTATACGTCTTCTTTTTGAAGACTAAGCATATATTCCATCAATAATTTGTTTGAGATTAATTTATGGGTGAATATTCTAGAAATTGGAGTATCTCAACTCTATCGTACATTACAAAATTTTATTAATTATATAATTTCAGATGTCTGAGATACGTATTTTACCATTAGGAGCTGGACAAGATGTTGGTCGTAGTTGTATACTAATTACTATGGGTGGTAAAAATATTATGCTTGATTGTGGTCTTCATATGGGTTTTCATGATGATGTAAGTCATTTGTATACCATCTCTTATCATATTATAATTGTTCTTTTTTTTTTATAGCGTCGATTTCCAGATTTTTCTGTCATATGTAAAGATGGTCCATTGACACCATATATTCATTGTGTTATAATAAGGTATAGATATATTTTATTTTAATTTTTAATTCTAAATAGACTTTTCTATTTAGTCATTTTCATTTGGATCATTGTGGAGCATTACCCTATATGACTGAAGTTGTTGGATATAATGGTCCCTTATATATGACTTATCCAACGAAAGCAATTTGTCCCCTTCTTCTTGTATGTACAAAAAATTATCTATAACAATTAATTTTATTTTATATATAGGAAGATTTTCGAAAAGTAACAACAGATAAAACAACACAACAAGGACCTTATACAACAGAAGATATAAAAAATTGTATGAAAAAAGTTATTCCTGTTAGTTTAGGACAAACTGTTAAAGTAAAATTTTGATTATTTTTATTGTAGGAAATATTTAAAAAATTTTAATTTTTTTTGTATAGGTAGATACAGATTTTGAAATTAAAGCTTATTATGCTGGACATGTATTAGGTGCAGCTATGTTTCATATTCGTGTTGGTCAACAAACACTTGTTTATACTGGTGATTTTAATACGACAGCTGATCGTCATCTTGGTTCTGCACATATTGATCGATGTCGACCAGATGTTTTAATAACTGAATCAACATATGGTTCAACTGTACGTGATTCTCGACGTGCACGTGAACGTGATTTTATGGCTAAAGTTGTTGATTGTGTTCGACATGGTGGCAAAGTTCTTGTACCTGTATTTGCTGTTGGACGTGCTCAAGAATTATGTATTTTATTAGAAACATATTTAGAACGAATGAATATAAATGTACCTATTTATTTTGCATCGGGTCTATCAGAAAAAGTAAATACATATTATTCATTATTTGTTTCTTGGACAAATGAAAAAATTCAATCAACATTTCATCAAAAGAATGTTTTCGAGTTTAAACATATTAAAGTATAAAATTGTGCTCTAGTTTTTCAAAATGATATCATATATATTATTTCTATATTTTCTAGCCATGGGATCGATCATATGTAGAACAACCTGGTGCAATGATTGTCTTTGCTTCACCTGGAATGCTTCATGCAGGTTATTCACTTCATTTATTTAAAAAATGGGCACCCGATGAAAAGAATATGGTTTGTTGATTTTTTGTTTTGTTTGTTTTCATAATTAATCTTATTTTTTAGATTATCATACCTGGTTATTGTGTTGCTAATACTGTTGGTTCAAAATTATTACTTGGTCAACGACGTTTTATGTTTGATGGAAAAGAAATTGAAGCTAAAATGCAAGTACATTACATGTCTTTTTCAGCACATGCTGATGCTAAAGGCATAACACAACTGATACGTCAATGTCAACCAAGTAATGTTGTTTTAGTACATGGTGAAGATTTAGTGATGGATTTTCTTCGTGGACGAGTAAAAGATGAATTAAGTAAATCTAATAGAAATATATCTACTGTTTTTTTGTTATCTAATATTTAATTTTTGTAGAAATTCCTTGTTTTAAACCAGCTAATGGTGAAACCATAGTTATTGAAACACCACATGGTATACCAGTTGATATTGAGCCAGCACTTGTACAACAATTGAAAGGTAATATTGAGATCTTAGATGCTTTATGTGAATAATATTATTGAATGCTTTATTTGTAGAAGAAACTATTGATGTCGGTCGATCTGCTAAACGAACAAAACAAATGCAAGGTACACTAATTATTAAAGATGGAGTGAGTAATATTTGTATATATATATAGATTATTTATGTAATACTTTTTTTTTATTAGCGTCTTCGTCTTGTTCGTCCATCAACAGCAATGAATCAATTAGGTCTTGTTCATCATATAGTTCAATTTCATTCTCGTTTTCCAACTACAGCCAATATTCGACCAATTCAATTAGTTTCATTAGTTCAATTACTCGAACGAGAATTAAATAATAGTGATAACGAATTAAAACATCGTATTATATTGATATCTGACAATCTTTTGCATATTGATAATAAACAATTACGTGTATCAATTGAAACGAATGGAGATATTGATATTGCTTGGACACTTAACGTAAGTTCATATAAAACCATTGATTTAATACCTGTAGTAGTATTATTCAGATAGATTAATTTATCGTATGTGTACATTTCCTCTCACTACACAAGTAGATGACAGCATTCCTATAAATTTAATAGTAGTATAAACGAAATTTGAATTATTTTTAGAATGAACAATTGGGTCAACGAGTCAGTTCATATATTAAATCATTTATTGATCAACATACATCAACGTCGAATGTTATTACTATTAGTGATAGTGCTGCTAGTCCAGATCCAATGTGATGAACAAATTTTTATTTTGTAAATAGAAAAAGAAAGAAAAATAAAATCAACGATAATAATTCTATTATTGTATTATTTTAGTAGATGATTAAATTGATATCAATACTCTTTCGAAAAAGATCTGAATGAAATAGTGTTTGATTTCAATAAGTTAAATTATATTTCAAATATCTCTATCAGTTCTCTACAATTAAAACTATTCACTAATTAAATTCTCTTTTTGTGCAGATTGTGTTGTGTTCCTGTATAAATTGAAATTACAACAGAAATAAAGTAGAAAAACGAAAAGTTAAATATAACATTGGTTAATAATTGATATATAGATTATTTGTACAGTTCATTGTTTACCTATCAATATTTTTTTATGAATAGAAAACCCACATTATTCACCGAAGATCATGAAAAGTAGATTGAATTTACCATCTCACTTAAACTCTGTTTAAATCAGGGAGGAAACAGCTGATTTTTAATTAGATATGATTTTAAGCGATTAGTATTGATTAGAATAATTACCGGGTTCCTAATAAGCTGTTTCCCCTTTGAATGTAGGTCATATGCATCTTTTTAATGCCATAGTTGATCGAGTCACATAGAACTTAGAGAGAGTTATTGCTTACTCTGCAGGAATATCTCAAAATTGATAAAAAGCATTTGACATCAATACAATGAAAAAATATAATGGCTGTTTTAAACAGATAATGCGATTAAATCAATTTTTCTATTAGGAAATAGTTCTCGAAATTATTTATTTACAAAAGCTTCGTAGGATTTTGCGCTATTATAATCAAATGCCATAGAATTGTTGGATTGTTTTGAAAAAGAACAATAATTCTTTACTATAATTGATACGACTCAATTGGAGTAACAGAACACTAGTTCTAGATTATATGATAAATATCTATACGTGTTACAAGTGTACTATATAGGTTATCATTGATCAATTCTATTATACTATTTTGATGAAATTTTTCATTTGAACATGTATTTATTTTCATACCAATATACAAAATATTCTACACATTGCGAGTATACTATAAATGTATAGACGATATTTCTAAGAAGTTCAAATTCTAACACATGTCATCTTTGAAAACTAAGCAAATAACTTTCTTCGAAAAAATTCATCTTTACTATAACATAGAACTCGAATATCTCTAATCTACAATACTAGTATAGACGTCAATATTGCTATCATAGAAAATATCAGTTTCTATTTCAATTAATAAATAATGTTATATAGTATTTATTTATTGTTTCAATAGACAAAATAATTTTATTCGTTGAATTATATTTGTTACCTATGAATGAAACATAAATATCATTTTAAATTTGACATCTATTCACCTTCATCACTTACATTGACACTATCATTATTATTTGGTGGTCTATCGAGCCGTGATCAATCTTACACAGACAGGTAACCATTTGTTATTCTGTGATCGAATATCTATGTCAATATATATTTAGATATATTCATTCAGTTTTTCTTTCATTTCTTCTGATATACGAAGGACAAATGAAACCAACCAAGGGTAATGACGATGAACCTGATGTAATTGGTATGTATACCTCGTTTTTTTATTTTATTTTATAGTATTAAAAATATATAATTTCTTTCGAATTAATTTGTTTTATAAATAAAAAAGATATATTCAAACATAGATAAGAAAAATGTTTTTCGATACATTGTCATAGTTAAAATTAAGTTTATTTATATATAGATTTAACAGCATTTTATGGTTATTATGGATCATTTAATTATCCTCTTCGACCACCATCACCATTTGCTGATGATCCTCTTCGACCTCATATGTCAGTCAAAGATAATGAAACTGATGCAGTGATGACATGGTCAATACCTGCTAGACAACAAAGTCTTACTTATAAGATAAATAATACTGAGAAACCTGTTCTTTCTTCTTCCTCGGATTCGCAATCATCTCATATAGATAGTAAATGGCGATTATCATTGAATAAATTATTAAAACGAACAAAATCTATTGACCGTAAAAAAGGTTTGTTTTCTTTTCTTTTCTTTCATCAAAAATTCAATGAATTATTAAGTTTTAGTTGTTTCATTACCACCAATGGACTATTCTTATCCATATGATTTTGGTATTGGTGATAACACTCGAACAGATATATTAACATCACCTAGTAATAGTAGTAAACGAGTTCATTGGTTTGATGAAAACGAAGATATATTAGATTCATGTCAACGTTTTATTGAATGTTTAACAGTATTAATACAAAATATAATTAATGATAATATAGATGAAAATAATTATTTAGAAAATTGTCAAGTATCATTAGAAAGACTTCAACCATTGATTAATTATCAAGAAATTAAACAAGTATTTAATGATATGATTGAATTAGCTACAATACGAGATAAAAATCAATTAGTTCGACAACAAATTTATATTGAAAGTTTATTACCTCGTGCTATTCTTACTCCTTTTGCTTAATTACATTTATAATAAATACACCAAAATTCTATCGTGATATTTTTTCTTACGTACAATCATATTCATTGTTGAAGTGAAAGATTAAACTATTTAAATCGTCTTTTTACCTTTTAGAATCCTAAGGTTTATCAGAAGAGTAATGAGAATTAAATAACGATACCACTTGATTATAGTCTTTGTACTATTCTATTCATGTTACTTCTAAGATTCTGTAGGATATAACCTTGCACATAAGTATATAATAAGTTTTTATTAACAGACAACTCATTGAATAATGTCTCTTCTTTTCAATAATGAAAAGTACAGCTCTCTATCAGTATTTATTTAGATTGAGATCAACATTAGTAATTTTATTTACAACTTCATCTCATGTACTTGGCATACGCTGAATAAAAAAGATCAATTAATTGATTGTTTAGCAGTTAATAGTAAATGAGTTATACTTTCTGATCATTCAACCTACATTTGAACAGGTTGTGATGTTGATACAGATGATTATTGAAAGGGTTTGTGCATCACATGCATCATTAATTGATAAATTCAATAAGAATTATTGAATCTCATATGAACATGATCTTAGAAATGTTGAAAATAAATCTGATGTCTAGAGATACATGTATATGTATATGTTCTTGATACTCTTTAGTCAGATGAAGTATTCTATTTCAATATTATCTTTTTCTATACTTAGAAATTTGTCTTTGTAAAAAGTAACATTGTAATATAGTCGACACAACTGATGATATTTTGTATATGTTCGTTTCGGAATTTATCAATATTGATAGGTTAAATAAAAATAATACATGACATTACTAGTCATGCCAAGTAAATATTGATCATAATTCTTTTCTACTAATGTCATGATGCTATTATTATGTACACAAGCGATACTATAATTTTGACATCATACTCTTCTTCTCTATTGATTTTTGTCCTTCATTACATGATTTTCTAGAATAGAAAACTGCTGATATGATATGTTATAATATAATTATAATGAATTAGAAAAGTGAAGTAGTTCCATTTAATGATACGCTACGAAATGTAGACGAGGGAGAACCAAAACGAATGAATTAATATAAGTATTCAAATGATTTTACACATTCATTACTGCCATCTATCTTTTAAAAAAATTGAAATTCAGTTTTCATAATTCACATAGTCATTAAAAGTAGAATATTCACTAATATTCATCATCAATTTTTAGAATTTCATTTTATATTAACTTGTGAAGAGTATTTCGATTTAGATAATTGCTATATCAAAATAGAATGTAGTACATCATTATCCACTGTTCAGTAAGAAATGATCACTTAGAATAATAATAATTTCGTAATATTCGTATGATTGTTTAATTGATGTTCTGTATCAAATATTTCACAGCTGCAGTTCTTAGCATTCGAAAAATGATTTTTGTTAGAAAAGTCACTTTATCTTTACTTGAGCATGGCCATATATGTTTTAATTTTGCAGAAATGTAGCGATCGATGAAGTGAAAGTGTATATGATAGGAGATATTCCTTCGTAGTTACCTTTTTTCTAATAAAGTTAATCCCAATACAGAAAACAAATATATTCGGTATAATTATTAATACGATTTTCATCGGCATTTTTTGACAGAAATTTTTTTCCTGCTTGTTCGGGAATATTAAGATTGCTTTGCTAAGATTATTTTTAAAGTGTGAGAATTCTCGAATATGCGGCATCACAACTCTTTAAACTCTTTGAATTAGGTCATTTTTTCAAAAAATGAGATATACCGCTGCGACTACTCGTTTATTCCTCAAATTAAAAATGGACCATGTTCGATTAAGATTTTATGATGAATAGAACCTGTTCAGATTCCTTTTGTTAGCATGTATTCAAAATCAAAATCATTCTTAATGATAATCATAGAAAATTTTCTTTCAGGAATGGGTCAGCGAGTCCATTGGATGAGCGTTACTTGTATTAAAGTATGTGTATATACACAGAATCTTATTATAGATCTGGTTGAGTGCACATGCGTTTAGTTATATAGAGAGGATTGTGTACGTATAATAAACAATACATTATGCGAACGAGAGTAAAAGAAATTATATTTGAAGCGAATATAATAAAACACGTGGTGTTTGTCGCAAAAAATGCTAAATTATAAATACAATATTGCACCAAATAACTGACGATAAGTCACGCTTGGCTTCATCATCTATAATTAAAAATTTTTTCCACATTTTTTTTGATATATAAACAGAACAAAAAGAGCGTCAAAATATTATCTTAATTTTCAACTGAAGGCTTTGTTAACGTACAAAAATAGTTTCATCATACATACAATCTGAGAAAATGGGCAGCAGTATAGAGGACCTGATTTGGGAGCTTGACAGTTAGTATAACATTGCATAAAATAGTTACTAATAATATGTTTTTTAGACGATCCACTATTACGGGACACACCATCTCCAAACAATGCTACCAAAAGCACGGCTAACCCAACAAATGTGGATGATTTGGGATCATCTTTGCGAAATAGTCCTACACATTCATCTAACAGTGAATATATCATAAGAAAAAAAGAATTTTTATTTAGTTGTTTTTTCATTTCTTTACGTAGATCAATGGATTGAATTGGATATATCATCTCCAAATATGGTTAGCAATTACCCGTCTCATCCTCCAAGTGACCATGGTACGGAATCACATTTGCCAAATAGTCCTACATATCCACTTGACAGTAAATATATCATAAGTAAAAAAAAATCTTTAGTCAGTTGTTTTTTCATTTCTTTACGTAGATCAATCGATTTCGTTTGGGGAAAGTTCCATCGGTAAATACAAATAGAGTATAAAAATAGTAAGCTTTGTATTCGTTTTTACTTAGGTATAACGCTGGACGAACTTATAACATCCCTTAACGAAAAAAACGACAAAATTGAAGAACTTACGACAACTGTAGCTAGACTAGAAGAAGAACTCGCACGTATGAAACAAATGTTTCACCGAATAGCAGGATCGAACAAAACAGCTACTACAAATAATCAACAAACAGGTCAACCAATATCAACATCAAATAGTAATATTTATTCATATTATCCATTTATTTTGTTTTAAAAAATTTATTTAGATTCCGACTATCGCCTCAGCACCGATGAGACACTTCTAAATGATTCATCCGAAAATAACAGTCAAAGTATAGAGATACCAATAAATCGTAAGTTCTATATAGATATTAATTAATTAATTGAACGAAATATAAAATTTGAAAAATTTGCTTTTCATTTATTATACAGAAAATGGGACTGTCAGTGTGAATGTATTGTCTAAATCAAATCCGACTACTAATGTAGAAAATCAAACTCGAACTAATTATCTAACAACGACAGTAGCAAGTAGTTCAAGTAAGAAAAATTTTAATTTTATATACATTTCTTAAATATATCTATTTGTGTTATGAAGATGTATATGGCCATTCATCCGCAAGTCCTGATGCGATTGATGAAATTAGACGACAAAAAAATCAAGGAGAAGTTCAACTTGGGCGATCCTGTCGCGATAAAAATCGTAAAACTACAACAGAGTCGTCTGACTTAAATCGTAGAAATGATGATGGTAGACCATTAAAAAAAAGAATATTTAATTCTGTTATTTATATTTGCTCTAGTCACACCACCGATAGCATCAAGTTCATGTGTGTTACCAAGTACGATAAAATTATAAACTTTCATATTACTACTATTAAATTTTTTTTGTAGACGGACAAACGGAATATTCACTAGAGTTCAAAAAACAAAATCTGTCAAATTCGAATTCAATTGTTAATCAATTCTTGCCATTTTCATGCACGACTAATGAAACTTCAGCACCAGTTCGTGGAAGTAAAGATATCATTTCTGTGATGTAATTCAAATAAAAACATGAATATTCTTTAGATGGACCCATCAACATTAGTTTACTTCATGCACTTCATCCACTTCAAGCGGAAGACACTAATAAAACAGACAGATTTACTCAATTAAAAGATTGTCGTAATAAAACTCCAGTTCTAACCATAGTTAGTATAAATAATAAAAATAAACCATATCTCTTTATATTAATTTCAATATTTTAGCGTAGTGATGATCCACTTGAAAATATTTCTATGAAGATAAATATAATATCAAGATCTGGTCATGGCGATTTTTATGGCCTCTATCAGTTTAAGGAAACTGGTGATAAAGGTGTAGTTACAAGTGTAGATACCATTCATCGTAATATTGGATCATGTGATGATAAACCAACAAGAATTAAGTTAGTATTTATGAATTTTAATTATAGATTTGAGATATATCAGACTACGTTTTTAGATTACCAGGTTTGGAGATGCAGAAACTACGCGATTCCGATTTAGAATTGGAAAAGGGAAAGAAAAATGCTTATAAACTCAAATCATATCCATCAGGTATGTGCATATACTTATTAAAAATAATTATTTATACCGTTCTTTTTTATTTAATCTTTTTATATTGAAATTCATTTTAGGCAAAGAAATAAACATACCGAGTAATGGCCCTCAAAAACTAATAAAAGAATATAATCTTAAAGACCCAAGACTCTGTATTCGCTTATTTCGTAATAACATACCAATACCAGATCAACCTATTTTTTTTTCAAATCCACTTATAGGTTGTAATTTAATATTTATTAATTATCTGTTTTATTTTCTAATAAATGTTTTTTAGCATCTAGGACACAAACTAAAGTTGCTGTGCATCATCCTGTTCATCCTAATCAAACAAATACAGTACCTAACAATCTTAATCGTGCATCGCGAATAAATATGAAAGTTTCTGAAGATCAACAATATCGATTATCTCAACCTACAACTAACAATACTTTTCGACAGGTTTCAAACATCGAAAATTCAAGTACTATCGAACAATCGGCTATGTTAAACGAACAAAATCGATCTGAAAATAACTGTGGACAAAAGCGAATGTATGAAGGTGCAGAATGTGATTATTCTCTTGGGTATATAATGTTTCATATTATTTTTACTAAATATCTATATTCTTTTTATACTTTTCATAGATTACCAATTATCAAAGCACCAAGAATGTCTACGAATAATGATGAATAATCAATGACGAATCAGAACATTCATTTTTTTTCATTTGATGAACAATAACTAACTGAATCTTTTCAACCGGTTTTAAACGTTTTCACTTATTGTATTTTTGTTTTTTTATATATAGATTTATAAATATATCAATCGAAAAAAAAAATTTTAAATAATTAAATATCTTGTCTTATACTTATTAACCAATCTGATTTTTGTATGCCGAAGATTTTGAGAGCAATTTATACAATTAGTATAAAGTAAAATAAGTTTTTATTTGAATTTACATAACTTTTGTTGTTTATTTGACAAAAATACGAACAGTAAAAGAAAATATGATGATAATGTAGATCGTTATTTTGTGAAGTTTCTATATATTTCATATATGTAGTAGTTAAGGATTTTTGCTGTTAACGGATATTCACAAAGCAATACTATTCGTATGTATATGATAGATAATCAATGTTGGTAAAACAAACAAAAAAGATATCTTTATTCATATTTTGTCAATACTTATTAATTTAATATCATTTATAAAGAATTCTTGTAAATTAATTAATTTAACTGCAATTTCTTAGATTGATAAACTAGATACTTAATGATTGCATATTTATTCTTATATTTATTTCAATATTTACAAAAATAAAAAATTCACTATTGAGATCTCTTTTACTTATTTTTCATTCATATAATATGCTTGTATCTCTTACAAAAATGATCATCTATTTCTTTTCAAACAGTAGATCACTAAAGATTATCATAAAAAACCTGAAATCATATGAGATATCGACATTCTAATTGTAAAAACTGATTACAATAAGATTTATTGCCATTTTTTTTCTTTTTTTTTGAATGAAATAATGTCGTACATATAGTTTGTCTTGCTTGGCCATGACTAAAATTTGGTCGCGGTTATGGTCACGGACACAAAATTTTTTTTTAAATTAGCTATTGACCGTGAACAGTGGTTACGGTAGTCACATTGAATCATTAAATCTAACATACTATTCAAGTTGAATCATAAACTTTTACTTAAAACTTACTTATTCATTATATTTTAAATGATTTATTTTTTTGCCAATAATTTTTATTAAATGTATAAATGAAGAAAAGAAATGTTAAATTTCTGTTTCTATCTATGTATCTTTATCCAAAAACTCATTATAATGAATTATACTAAATCTACATATTATCGAATCTAGTTTCAAAATTAATAATTTGATTAAGTTAATAAAAACGAAAAGTTTATTAAAACAAAACAACTAAAACAACCATTCAATAGGTATGTTTTTTTTTTAAAAAAAAGAACAATAAAAACAAAAGATCTAGGCTTTAACCATTGAAGAACCTGATGTAGGACGTGTATTCATTGAAGAACGTTGATCAGTTGGAGTACGTGTTTCAGTTGAAGCTCGTAATTCACTTGTAGGACGTGTTTCACTTGATGAGCGTGGGTATGGTGCATATCTTGGAGATGGTCGATATTCATTCGAATATAAACGAGATTGATAATCAGCAGGCATTGAATTAAAACTATCAGTTGCAGTTGCAGGTGCTCCAAACATGTAAGGATTGAAAGATGCTGGTGCTGGTGTAGGAGCTGGTGTTACTGGAGCAGGAGCTGGCGTTGCTAAAACAGGAGCTGGTGTTGTTACTGATTGAGCAGCTTGTGCCGATAATGCAGCTTGAAGATTTTGTGGTGTCAATGTGGATTGAAGATTTTGAGCTGAAAATGGTGATTGGAGGTTTTGTGATCCGAATGTTGATGGAAAATTTTGTGGTGTAAATGCTGTTGGGTAGTTTTGAGCTCCATATGCTGATTGAAGATTTTGTGGTCCGAATGCTGATGGAAAATTTTGTGGTGTGAATGGTGTTGGGTAATTTTGAGCGGCATATGCTGCTTGAAAGTTTTGTTGTGGTGGTGCAGGTTGAGCAGTTTGAGCGGGAAATCCTCCTTGAAAATTTTGTGTTCCTGCTCCTGATTGAAAACCATGTGCAGCTAAAAGTGATTGAAAGGCTGGTGAAGATAAAAGAGATTGTAACGATGGAGATGTTCGTGATGTTGGAAAGCCACCATTTACAGGTACTGAAAAACAAATGAGAGAATGTATTCAAAAGATAATATAATAATCGTTGAGTAACATACATGGTTGGTTAGTGGAAGGAAAAGCTCCTGGAAGACCAAATGAAGCAAATGGTTGACTACCTATAATAGAAAATTGAAATATATAAAAATTGAAAATCAGATAAACAGTTTATACTTGGACAAAGATCAGATGAATATGGAAGTACTTCACATGGAAGAGTATCAAGGACTGGTATTGAACATCGAGATTTAACAGCTCGGCAGTATGATTGACATGGAAGAACAGGTGCAGGTTGATGACGTGTTGAACATGGTGGAAAAAGTATTGGACATAATAGAAGACGTAAGGATCGAGTACAAGTTGCTTCTGTTGGTGAACTCATTAAAGCAGTTAAAATTTGTGAAATTTGCCATTTTTCTCGATGACCGAATGCATTTGGTAAAGAATATTTAGCTTGTGGAACAGCACCACATACATCTGAAAAGATTGGGTAGTGTGCATCAATTAATGAATGGCATGTTGGACCATTGTTTGACATAACATTAATATCAGGTGCATTGTATGGTACTGGTGCAGCAAACATACTAAACATCGAATAAAATTATCGATAAAAAAAAAGAAACAAAAATCTTTCGCATATTTACTTTTCATATCCATTTGGAGTCCATTCATTTTCATCCATAGGAGCTTCAAATAGAGATGGAATTAATTGTGATAATGATTGTGTTAATGATTGTGGTGGTGCTTGTGGTGATGAAACTGGATGACGTGAACGTGTTCGATAATTACCTTCTCGTGAACCATATGGTGAATATCGTTCATGATCAAAGGATGATCGTGATAAATAACTATCATCTACTTCATCATCTTCATCTTCATGTTCATATTTATCGTTTTCACGAATATTATATTTTTCATCTTCACGAGCATCATTTTTATCATGTTTATTCTTTCTATCACGAGATTCTTTTTTGTCTTTGGTAGATACACTTTTTTTTAAATCTAATGCAGAATCAGCTATACAAAACAACGAAAGAACTTAATTAATATGATTGACTATTAGTACTTAAATTTACCTTGACGTGGAGTTTCATCAGCTGATGCCAAACAAATAATAAAAACACATAATAGTGTAAATAACAGATATACTTTATTCTGCATCATTATTATGTCTAATCTTAACTTAAGTTTTGATAAAGTGAAAATGTTTTCATTCAAATGTTCGAGAAAGTATCTATATTCATCTTTCTTTCTCTCTCTTTCGCGATCTAAAAGAATAGAATAACACCTGGATTTAACTATATACATATACATAAGAAATCAGTTTGATAACTATATAAAAGATATAATCAGATCTAAAGATTATCTAGTCACGATCATTCTTATAATAGATAAACAAACGTTTTTTTATACAATTACACGTGGTTATGATATACATTATTTTAATAGTTTAAATAAGAAAAAGATATCTATCATTGAGTTTGAAATACTTCTTTTTATCATATTCAATAAATTCTGTACGATACAACTAAAACCTTCGAACTATAATTTTATGATATGAACTTTTGTATTCGTTCTAAAATAATGAAAGATTATTTTCTTTCTAATGATTTCAAAATTGATCGAAATCGAGCATTTGAGTGTTATCGATCACGTCACGTATGTTTAATGTGGTTATGCAAATATTGTGCATTACATTTTGAATAGATCTAATATAAAATATGAAATTTTTTTTTATTTAATGTAACATAGCGTTGTTATGTCACAAGTTTTTTTCTGTAATACATAATTATAACAAACGGTAGACAAGCAATTGTAATGCATTAGTAAAAAAATAACAAAAACATAGAAGTATAAATGTATTTATTTAAGAATAATTGTAATAGCAAATATTTAAATTTACACTTATGAAGATAGAGAATTTTCATTCTATATCATTAGAATACTTGATCAACATATATAAAAGAAGGACAAATTTCATCTCTCTTACACAATTTATCATTACAACATTCTTTTGAATAATCTGTCGTAATTCTAATCCTATGATTCATATATATTTAATGATGACGTATACAATAAACATTTCAGTCATATAAAATAATTTATCAAAAAATTAATATATCATAATAGTAATAGACAATTCTTTATTGTTGTTAATTGAAAATGTTTTATATTATAAAGTCAACTAGGGACATCTATCACGATAAATTTTCCATGTGACTACCAATAACAAGGACAGTGATGAGTCAACCTAAACGTCAGAGTAAAGAAAAGAAAAGGGAAAGAGTTAGAGTTACATTGTGAAAGTTAAGTTTTTTTTTTGATCATTAGCTTAGAAAAACAAAACAAATAATAACAATGTTGACTAGCATGGCACGTCGACCACCAACACATGTTCATCATATGAATGGTCTTCATCATCAACCATATCATTCGAAACAAAATAATGATGACGATGACGATAATGAAGAAGAACGTGATGCTCGACGTGCTCGTTCACGTATTTTAGCGAATAAATTATCTGAATCTTTATTACATCGTTCATCATCATCATCATCAACAACAAATAAAGAAGATTCAATTGAACAACGTATTAAAACTGCTATTGACATATGTGATATTGATACATTAAAACAAATTTATTGTCATACATCATGTCAAATACCTATTGAACGTTGTTTTAAATTTGGCGGTTGGACAGCCTTAATACATGCTGCTTATGCATGTCATTTATCGCTTGTATCATTTTTTATCTTGGAACTTGGTGCTGATGTTAATAGCAAAAGTTTAGAACAAATGACTCCATTAATGGCATGTTGTATGTCATCTCATTCAAAAAGTGCAACAACAAATGGTAATGAAGAACAACTTGCAATTTGTCGATTATTACTTGAACAAGGTGCACAAATTGAACCATCATCGGAATTAACAGATGAAAAAACTATGACACCTTTAATGTTAGCTGCTCGTTTTGGTTGTTCACCATCATTAATATATTTATTAGTTGAATATGGTGCAAAAATTGATCGATGTGATGCAAAAGGATGGTGTCCTTTGATATTAGCAACACAACATGGTCATTTAGGTTCTGTTGAAGCTTTAATACGTTCTGGTGCTGATTTAAAAGCTACAACAAATAATGGACTAACAGCTCTTGATATTGCTCGACACTTGAAATATGAAAATATTGTTCAGTTTTTTCTTGCACAACAAATACAATCAGTAAGTTGATATACAATCTAAAAAAGTTTTACTTCATAGAATGTTATTTATTTTAGACTTCCTCCCAGTCATCATCTCTTTCTTCTTCTTCTTCGTCGTCGTCATCATTATTATCTAATAATCAATGTAAGACGATAAATGAAAATGTGAATGAAGAAGTTTTTGTCAATAATAATGACAATATTGTTAGATTATCATCTGATATACATTCAAATGAACAGTCATGGAAATCAATGGCTTATATGGGAGTAGTAGCAACAGCTATTGGTGGTGCTCTTCTATTAAGTCTTGTGTATATGCGACGATAATGATAAACTTTATGTTTTACTTTATTTCTATTTTTAATTTGTTCATTTTGTCATACGTTATATACATATATATATATATCATTTTATTTCATTTTTTTTTGTAAATAAATATTTCAAGTCAAGAACAAAACTTACAGATGGCATGTATCCTTGAATACATATGTGCATGTTTGAATAATCGAAGGAAAGAAAAGAGAAGGAGAAAAAAAGCAATGATGCATAACCTCTATACAATCGTACGTAACAACGGCTTCTTTTTTTTTTGCTTCGCTATATGAGACTTGAAGGTAAGTGTCTCTTTTGATAATTCATCGTTCCAATGCTCTAGCTTTATTACCACATTTCTTCACTCATCACATACCTTTACAGTTACTTACGAGGGTAATAAACATAGAAAACAAGGTGATATCAAGGACATATATCATATTTATTACCAATATTAATAATGGCTACAATTTCTGATAGATATTCTATTCATACGGATAGTAATGTAAGTAAAAATATTTATAATAATGAACAAAAGAAGAACGATGAGGATGAAGAAATAAAAAGGTCTCAATTATCATCAATGGATGGTTATCAAGGTGAGAAGACCACAAAAAAGGTTAATGATTCAGTTCAAATTGGAAAAACAGATACGTTATCATCATTTCAATCTATTAATGAAAATAAAAAGTCCGATCGAATGTCTCCAACATCAAAAAAGTCATCAGATAACAATACAAAGAAAAAGAATAATGAAAAAACAATTAAAAAAAGTCAGCAAAAGGAGGAATCAAGGTCTACAACTATGTCCTCCACTTCAATTGGTACTAATAATATTAAAAGAGAGGAAGTTGTTTCCTCTAGTCTACTAAACAATAATGAAAACAATAGAAAAGATGAATCAACTACCTTAAATAACATGAAGAAACGTAAGTCAACATCAAACAATTCCGATTCAAAAACGAAAGAATCAACAAAACTCTCACCGACAAATGTTGATTCGAAAAATGATAATGCCTTTCCTATACAAAAAGATGATGCTCAACATTTAACAGATTTTCAACTTGAAAAAGCAAAATATTTTTTCAATGTTAATCTTGGTATGTTCCCTTTTTTTTCTTTTTTAATAAAACTATTTCATTTATCGTTGTATAGATATTGAAAATAAAGAATATGTGACATGGGAAGATGTAGAATTTTATTTATTAGTAAGTAGATATATAAAATGAAAGAAAAAACTTCTTTTTTTCTTTTGAAAATAGTTTCATGCAACAGCTGCAGGTAAAGAAGGATCTGATGGTGATGATTTAGAAGTACGATTAAATCGAGCTGCAAAAGCTTTTTGGGAACATGTACATGATCAAGTTCCATTATCTGATGGTAAACGTGATACACTAACATTAGATCAATTTCTCGATACATGGGCTGGTCTTATTGATTATGTTGTTCGAACAAATCAATTACCACCTATTATTCAAGATCTAGTTAAACTTGGTTTTGAATTATATTCAACAGATAATGGTAATGATAAACCAACAACAATACAACCAGCTGCCTTCGATCAACTTTTTCAAAAAATGAACATAGGTCGACCTTATGCCATTATGGCATATAAATATCTTACTGAAGTATGTATAGATTAGTTTTTTGAATGATCTAAATGTATTTATATATATGTATATAGAATGGTACAAAACCGTTAGATGCTGATAAAATTGATTCACTTGTAAAAGCAGTAATAACATCGTCAGATGATGAACATGATTCACATTTTCTTCTACCAGGTTTTTTTAAAACAATTGCTAATACGAGAAATAATGAGAAAGATAATAAACCTCAAACAGATTCATCAGGTCCAGATGAGGATATTTCTCAAACTAGTGAAAAATCCTCATCAACATCACGTGCACCATCTCAAACATCAACTTCACGTTCGCAAACACCAATATTACATTCAAAATCTCGAACAATAAATGAATCATTAGCATCATCTATTTCTCAAGCAGTAGAACAAAACCTACATTCAGCATCATTATCAAAAGAACAACAAAAACCCCGTGAACAGCAACCACCACCAGCAGCAACATCATCACCTCGATTTACACAACAAAATAATTCTCCATCATCACCATCACCTCGATTTCAACAACAACCACAGCAACAACAGCAACAGCAACAACAAAAACCTTCACCTCTATCAATACCAAATGAACAAAAACGGGATATTTCATCACCATATCAACATATAAATACTCCTATTTCATCAAATAATATAGCTCAATCACCTACTCCATCTTTATCAACAAGTCAACGACAAAATATATCATCAACATCTCCAAGACGACAAAAGATTGATATACAACGTGAAGATGAAAATATTCGTAATCTTTTACGTTATTATCATATAGATGATGGTGATGTTGTTGAAGTTGCCGATGGTAATAATCAACGTATAGTTCTCATTCATCCTGATCGTCCTATACCATCTTATATTCAAGATGAAAGACAATCATTACAAAAAATAAAACAAGGTTTGAATACGAAATTTTATTACTATCATCAAAATAAAAACTTTTTTCTCTAAAAAATTAGATGCAACCATGTCACAAAATGGATCTATTAATACACCTAATAAATCAAATAATAATGAAAAATCATCACAGGAACCAAATATAACAGAATCAAAACCAAATATAACTTTAGAAGGACGTGTATTTCGTGGTGAAGCACAAAAAGGTCCAACAATACCATTACAACAAGATCATAGTCAAGAACGTTCATCATCACAAAATGTTCGACAAGTATATCCAAAAGTAAATGAAGAACAAAATGAAGATTTACGAAAGAAAGCTTGTAAACGTCATGAAAAACATTCGAATAAAAACAAAAAGAAAAATACAGATGATACGTCAATAACTAGTGATATACAATCATCTCGAAAAGATGAGAAAAAACCTAAAAAAGATACATCACATAATGAAGAAGAAAAAATTGTTGCTGCTATTTTAAAACATTTAGCTCCAATCGTTGAACAACGAGTTCATGAAGAAATTCGTCGTATTGATAATGATGAAACTGATCAAGATGAAGATGATAATTTTCTACCATTTCCATTTATGTTAGCTGCTGGTTTACCATTTTTTAGTGGTGGTCCTAATGGAGCTCCACCATCACAAGAACCAAGACAACAACAACAACAAACATCACAACAAAATGCACCAAGTAAAGAACAACAACAAAATCAAAATGTACCACGCGTAAGTTAAATAAAATCTATTATTTTAATTTATGTATATATATATATATATACGATGTTAGGGACCTGATTTTGGTGGAGCTGCATTTATGCCACCTCCATTATTTATGGCTATGATGAGTGATTTAGCACGTGGAGGTGCAGGAGGAGATATGCCAGGTTTTCCACATAATATGTCATCTTCATCTCGTGGACCAGGTGGTGCTCCTGTTGGTGTTGAAGGTTAGTTGATATAATTATATTGTGAAATTCATTTATATATATATTTAGGCTTTATGATGTTTGTGGATGATAATCAAATGATGGGTGGTACCTCTGGTTTTCCACCACGTCCTGGACCTCGCTTTTAACGTTTTTTTAATTGCAAAAGAAAATCTTTTTTTTTTTACTTTTATTTGCTTTCTTTTAAAATTCTTAATAAATAATCTCATAATTATTGTCATTTTACAAACGAATACATTTTTTTTTCGAACTCAAAAAATCAATATACTTCACATAAAAAAAAACATATTACTATATGAATGTACAAAATTAAACTTGAATTTATAACCATTAATTGATTAGATCTAGGTGACATTTTCGTACTGAAAATAGTTCATGAACATTAGACGACTATTTTCATATCATAATTTGATATTGGTAGTATAATTAACAATAAATCGTGATACTAGAAAATACTGATTAGTGTTTATAATGAGTCAAAGAATTGATTGACATCTTTTCTTATCAAACATAATCAAACCTTCAGTATGTTCAAGTGCACAATCTATACTCTTTTTTTCATTATTATCGTTCTCATCTGATGTTGTAGATATGTATTTCGTCTTCAAATACCTTTAGTTGATGGCCAATCAAAGTCATACGATATATATATATATATATGTATGTGAACGTCTATCAAGTTCATTTGTATGATTACACATTAATTTTAAACATACAAGTAAACTTAATTTGATAAAATTCGTTTACGCCTATGTTCAATAGATAGACGATATCTTGTCTAGTAATTATTATAGTCATTTTAATAGATTGTTCAATGAATATGCTTATACTAGTTTTTGATAAACGATCTTGAAGATTAATCATATATCGTGAGTTAAATAATGAAGTACGAAATAGCTACTGTGACATCAGTTAACACGAATTGATAACGTCTATCACAATCTATAATAGTTCTAACTCACATCACGGTCCCTAGTCAACGTCTGCCATGATTTGTGACACAAATTATTATTAATTAATTAATTAATTACAAATAGTTAATGTTAAAATAACAATGTCTGTCGCGTTTGTGATGGTATGCAACTTTCTATTTCATGTTTCATAAATTATATAATGAGATTCTATGAAGTGTGTTATGATTCTACAATATTATTTATTAGTATAGTATTTGGATGCTTATTTTTATTTTTAATGTCTGGTGGTTTTATTATTATTATTTATGTTTTGCCCTGACGTCATTATGCAGAAAAGGAAGAAAAGAATGGTTAAACACGTGTTACTGATAAGTTTACTTTCGGGTTGGAGGTTTCACTGCATTGGAAATTTACAAATTGCTCATGACTATACATTATATAATGAATTTGTTAAGTATTACTTTCCTCACTGTGCTAAAAAGTTTAAACACAATATGGATTCATCTAATAGATTATTCAATTTCCAAATTACATATGGAAAACAAACCTTGACCATTCAAAACTTTAATAAACAAACAAATTTCGAACAAATCCACAAATATATATGTAACTCATTTGATTTAAATTCACCAAAGTCATATCAAATAGTATACTATGATCCTGAGACATTGTCTTTTGTCGATCTCAAAGATCCATTACATCAAGGATTCAATTTATCAAATAATATCCATTTTTTTGTAGTAAATAATTCATCTATACATTCAGATATTTCTTCTCACAATGGTAGGAAACATAATTTAATAAATAAAAAAATAATAATAAAATTTTCTATTTAGCTTCAGATATTCAAATAGATCAAGCTATACTACATATTAACAATGAAAATTCATCGAGTAATGAAAATTATTCGTTTAATATAGATGTATCTGTAGACAGTATTAAAGCTGACGATGATAGTTTACAAATTGACATGGAATATTCACATACAATGAATGAAGGTAATAATTCACTTGAAATTATTGATTAGCTAAAACATAAATATTCTCTCTGTTAATTGTAGATTTAGTGTCAAATCGACTTTTCTTCTCATTAGATGTGAAGCCTACTCAACGAGATATGTATAAATCTGATCAATTTAATTCTAGTTCAGAAAAAGCTAATGGACGTATCAGTCGTGTACAAGGTATCAAAGACGTATCCGAAAAAATGCGTCAAGTACTGCCGAAACTTCGAGTAATTATATTTTATACTCTTAATATTTTCTTTCTTAATCAACAACATTTTTTTTCTTATTAGATTCCTTCAATGTATCATAAATTAAATGTAAAACTTCTTGTATTTGTTGTATCTGAAGATTTACAAAATGGAATGCGTATTTGGTCTAAACATTGTCATAAAGGATTTTTACCGGAGAATTTTACAAAAGATACAGAAACAATAAATCCTATTGAATTTGATTTGAGTAAATGTAATTTAACAAATGAAGGAGATTTTGCGTAAGTGTATTGTAGAAAAAGAATTGATGTTGATTTATTTTTATTTGATTAATATTTAGATTAAGTGTACAAATGATAACGAAATGGAATAAATCTTCTAGAGAAGTTAACGAATTTTATCGACTCGAAGATAATAAAACGAAACTGATACATTCAGCACCACATGATTCACATTCTCCGCGTTTACTTTGTGTGATTCAACGAAATGGTATTATTGAATGGAATACACTTTGTTTATCAGATTTTATTAAATCACGTAAGAAAAATTAAATATATAATATAAATATTAATTTAATTCTTTATCTATTTAGCAAAACCTGCAAAACATGCATATTCAAATATTAATTCAGGTTTGTGTAATTTCATATTTATCTTATTGTTCTTATCAAATTATTCTTTTAGATCAAACGCATTCATCACCTCACAAACGTTTGAAAACTAGTAATTAACATGTTTATATTCAGATAATGGCACTAATCAAGAATACCGGTTCAATATAGTCGTATTTTTCATAGTTTAATTGTCAATATAAACAATCGATGTATCATTTTTTTGTTTTACGAGTGAATTTCTCAGGGAAATAAATTAAACATAAAAATATTTCGTTTTTTTTCCAGAAAGGATGTATGAATCATATTCAGGGTATATATCTTTCTTTATTCATTTTAATTGAATATAATAATGACAAACGTCTCAAGTGTAATGCGTACTTCAACAAAGTAGAAAATGCTGTATATTGGAAATTAAAACAACATATAATTTATTGATACTATTCTTCTTTGGATTTTACCAATTACTACTGATGCGTACAAGAGGGTAAAAATGGTATGTTGGAAGATTAACTTTCTTTGTCCATATGATTATTAAACAGGAATAATCCAAACAAGAAAACAAAGGAAGAAGAAAAGTTTCAATAAATCATATGTTATTTTGATTTCGAATATATAGCCTTTTCACTCTGTTGAAGAAAGCATTGCATTCAAAACGTCAGTTATTATTATATTCAATTAAAATAAATAAACTGAGAGAGAATTACGTAATATGATTAAAATATATTGTATATATAAAGTTTATATAGACCACACTGGAAATTAGGAGTAAAAGCTATTGGTAGCATCATTGTTTAGATTTCATGCAAACGATATGTCGTGTACTGATTATGAATTAAACAAGAACTAAAAGAAAAGAATTTCATAATTTTGAAGGAAGTAGCAACGGTGAATTCTGTATTTTAGACAATCTGAACACTAATTCTAGCAGTATATTACCTATTGTTTTTGCCTAAATAAATAAATATTATATTCATTCGTGATCTACTTCATATTTCCAAGATTGCTTTGCTAATTGTTTACTGAAAAAAAAAAGATGGTACTACATGATTTTATCATAATACTATTCTTTTATTTATAAGATTGTAGAACAAGAATGAGATTTAATAAAACTTAATTTATGTAGCTATATATATAGTTCTATTCCAAATACGAGATGTTCAAGGTTATCATATCGATTATTGACATTATCTTCGTGTGCCATTGATCCAAACGATGAATAGAATATTTTCACATCGATTAATATTTGACCTCGACTAGATAATGAACTTGTAAATACATTATCACTAGTATATGACTTATATTTCATACAATTAAATAATATAAATATATATAGACTCATTTTAATAAGAATATTTTTGATATTGTTACAGTAATTCAATATTCAAGTATAATAATGCTTCCTTTACTCAAATAAATTCAACATTTAGTAGTTGTATAGTTATTATAATACGTGACTTTTAATGTAAAGTTTGCTTAACACAGTCTATTGGTACTACCTTTAAGATTAAGATCAACATTATTCAGTTCATTGACATATGTTATTTTAGGAGATAGCACTCTCCATGTATTTACATTGACATTTATCAGCTCATATGAAGCATCAATGATTATCTCTTCTACGATTTCATAATCATTTACTGGATTAGTCGAAGGATTTCTTTTGTTTTTAAATAATTCCAGATAAAATTATTGATGCAATAGATATTACTTATCCTTGATTAGTTTTTCATATATGATTCACAATTATTTTACGATACGACTTCTGAGAAGATATAGAACTCAATCAATCTTTTTTTACTCGATCCTATCGATAATATAGTAACACCTATCTATTTTTTTTTGATATTGGCATTTATCAATCAATCATACGATCATTCTTGTTTTTATATACTAATCCAACAAGTACGCATAACCTTTCGTTAATAGATTCTGACACTTTTAGAAACGTAACTAACATTCCATCATCTGTTTCGATTCATAATAATTGTGACAGGTAGTAGGAAGAAATCAATTTCAGTTTCAGGTACCCTAGATCTTTCGATCGATGATAATATTTGTCTAATGAGATTATCTGATTTTTATTGAAATCAATAGATTATTAATCAAAGGTTTAGTTACTATCATTCCTCATAGATATCATTTACTTTTGTTATCATTATCTTTAGTAAGTTATTCTATATTTTTTGTATATATATGTATATCATTTGCTTTCCTATGTCAAAATTAAAGGCACTCCAATTCGACGTCATCGGCAACAAGAAGATAAACATAGTCTAAGATACAAACTTGTCATCAAGACTATTTCTGATTTAACCAAATCTTTTTATCTAATAAAAGCTTATCAAACTCTATACCATTAATTTAGATTGATAAAAAAATAAACTTGAATTATTGAAAAAACTAAATAGTAATATATCATAGAAGTTAATTTTAAATAAAATAATTTATACGAATAAAAACTACAGAATGTATATGTTAGTCGAATAGAAAGTGATACAAACAAATAATGTATTCTTCTATTATTTTAATTCGTATGCAAAAAAAAAGAATAATGTTTTGTTTTTTCGTCAAATTATCTCGTTATAAAATTGTTTGTGTTAGTCTTATTATTGAGCGGTAATAGGATTTTCTGTTTTTGTTGGTGTTGTCGGTACACTGGGATTAATTGAAAGAATATGATCATCATGTATATCAAATTTCCATTCAGTCACCGGACATATAACACCATTAAATGGTTGTTCAAGTGCATATGTTTTATCATTATCATGAACTTCTATTCGTGAAACAACTTTACGACAAGTAAATGTTGCATCAGGTGATGGTTGATATTCACGTTCTGGTATACAAGCACGACCACCAGCGTCAAGTGTAACAGAAATTGATTCATTTGTATTATTTGTACCAGCTGAATAATGAATTGTACATTTGACTGGTTTAGTTGTTTTATTACTGATTACTCCAGCATAAACATGACGTGGCGGAGCACATAAAGCTCGTGAAGCAGGCATTTATTTTTCTCTTAATTTAACTAGAAACGAATATAAAATATCTGTAATCATATCTAATATACACTCACCACTGAATATGTATATATATACACTACTGCTTAACCTCAAAAGACAACGCCAATGATGATGAATACGAAGAAGAAAAAGAAAACAGCAATGTCAATACTAAAGCTCTCAGTCGACTCCAGGATAGAAGCCGTTTTTCTTCTTTTTTTTCTTCTTTCCCATCATATTCAGTAGAATATTGTCTGTACGAGCTAACGCAAAATTAATCGTAGCTCTGACGGAAATAGAATTGTATCTCTCTTCTCTTTTTTTTCAGTAACAACGACAACAACAACAACAATAACGACATATGTATAGATATACAGTCGTCTATACAAGTTTATTGCGATATTCGATATAATATAGATCATTGTTATTCTTGTCCGTATTTTTTATTCATTTCTTTAAAACATTAAAATTCTCACAACAAATCACAATTATATATGAAGGAATGTCAATAGGAAATATTATTCATAAAACTAAAAATTACACAAAAACAAATCATTATGTACGTATTTGATAATCACCATTCATTGTTATATATCGAACCCATGGTAATGCTTGATAACCACTTTTTTCAATAATTTTTAAATATCTAACCTAGAAATATTATATATAAAATTTCTTTTGCAAAAATATGAATTTAATCATTAATTTACTTGTATTCCTGATGTTGTAAAATAAGGAATTTCAAATTTAACTTCAATTGGAGGTTTAGCTTCAAGATCTTCACTAACAATACTTGGTAATTTAAAATGAGCACGCATTATAAATTCTTTTCCACCCTAAATATATATATACAATCAGATATTTGAATATTTCTATAGAAATAAACACGTAACTGGAAATGATTTAATTGACCAAACCATAGCATTTTTTTCAGGAACATATTTAACTGAACCTGTTGTAGATTTAAATTGTCCTTTATGTGCATCAGATGGAACAGAAACAATAATTTCAACATTATTTGCTGTTGAACGACGTTTAAATTGAGATTTAGCTTTAATCATATATTCAACACGTGAATGAGCATGTTTTTCAGTAACAGATTCAATCCATATCAATGGTTTTATCTAAAAATTACTTCATTCTTCTTATTTTTTACAACTATTCTTCTCTTTTTTTTACTTGTGTACTAAGTCGATAGGACATTAATTCAAATTCACCATCTGGTGGAACAAATGATATAGTACGATCATTTTCAAAACGAGATAAACGAACACATTGATGAAATTTAACATCTTCTAATTCAACACCTTTATTTTTGGTACCTAAATAATATAAATTTAAAATATAAATAAATATATAGAGATTAAACATACGTCCAGTAGTTTCAAAAAGAATTTTATCATTAAGTCCAAGTCGTAATTCAGGCATACCACTTAGATAAACACGCATTTTAATAACTCCATTAATTTCTGAACGAAGAACATTACCATTTGAACTAACCTAGATTAATATTGAAAAAAAACCCAAAAAGTTTTTTAATGTAAAAAAATTAAATTAAATTTTTACTAAAATATTCACTGCTTCAATAACGTCAAGAAAAACTTCATTCTTTCGATATTTGACTCCATCTGATCGCCAACTAACTTGATTTGTTAATGCTTGTGGTGGACGAACTTGTTCAATTTTATGACCTTCTTGTGTAATATATTCTTGAAGAATATTTGAATCAGTTGATTGAGGAAAACCAAAATCCATTAATTCATCAAGTAATTCATAAACAATAACAAAATTATCTCGAATTGATTCTTCTTCAAGTTCTTTAAAATATTCACAAAATACTCGAACACATTTATAAAGAAATGATAAAACCATTGCAATATTTGCATTAATCTTTGTTGTACATACAACTACAAATATAAAGAATATACAGAATTTTTTGTTGGAAATAGAAAAAAATATGACTAACGATAAAGATTATTGTATTTTATATAAACAAAAGCAACTTCACCATGCTGAAATATAGGCGATAATTGAGATTCATCTTCTTTTTCTAATAATATTTGCATAAACTTTTCAATAACATTCATTTCAATATCACCACGATAGTTCCGAGATATAAGTACCTGAATAACGAAATAAATTAATTGTCCAATACTGACAATGAGAAATTGCACTTACTTTGCCTTTCATATCCAAAATATAGATACCTGAGGCTGACATGTTTGACAAATCTATTAATCAATTGGAAAATGTAGTTCACACTAACAGAGAACAGAAGGGAGAAATACAATTGTTTCTTTCTAGAGTATTATTAACACGTCGCACGCATACTCAATCCATGATGACAACCACTCACTCTTAGTCACCTTTTACTTTTCTTCCATCCTATCATGCTAAAAAAAGTGACAGATGGCAGACATCGTCACTTATTCAATATTAAGCATAGCTGTTAGATTTCAATAACGAAAAACGTTAGCTTTTCTATTTTTCTAGTGAAAAGATGTATTTTAAGCAGCCAACATCTTTTATTAAAAGCGTGACAATAACCAGGTATGCTTTTCTTGATTTTTCATATTAAATATGTATCTAATCACACACTATTGATGATGTAAAGACTTTCGCACAATATGCTCTTGTTATTTTTACAGACAATATAAGATGCACTATTAGATCAATATATTGTCTCTGAGGAAATCACTAGCAACAGTAAAAATTTCATCAACTGATTGAATATTGATGTATAAGTTGGGACTAAATTGGAAAGCTACCCTTGAAAACATGAACATTAGGAAATCTCAGTACGAAGACTGATTGTATACTAATATAGTTCCACACATACACATACAAAACTTATTTCGTTTATAATTAAATGAGTCCAAAATATTTCAATATGTAATAATAAACTTGATAGATTTTGTCATACTTGTTTTTTAAAAATTGTTTTGTATCTTAAAAATAAACTGAATTAAAATATTTACAGATCTTCTTAATTATACTTTCTAAAAGTAAAAATTCTTCTTATAGATTCATAGATATTCATTTAATATGAGGACTACTAATATATTCTTTAAAATCCAAAACTTTTAATTTCTGTTACGAATAACAACATACAAAAAAAAGTATTTTTTAAGATATCTGCCTATGTTTACATTATATAAATATATTAGGATGGTTGTGTCTTTTTCGGTGTATTATTGCTATTAGAAGGTGTCGTAGCAATTAATTTTCTTTGTTGTGCTAATAAACCTTCAAGATGATCAGCTCGTTTAACTGCTGCATCAAATTGAGTACGTAATGTTTGTACTTGTTCATCTTTTTTACTAATTGCTTGTTTAATTCTTAAAATAAAACGAAAGAAATAACATAAATATGTAATAGATTAAATATCAATTTACTTTTCATGTACAGTTTCCAATTCTTTTTCTTTATCTCTTTGTAATAAATCAATCTCTTCTTTTTTCTTATCCAATTCTATTTGTTGTCGAGCACGTAATTCTGCCATATCACCTTTAATACGACGATTTTCTTCTTCAGTTAATACAAGTCGATCAGCAAATTCTTGTCGAATTATATCCGATAAACGTTCACGTTCTTTTTGTAATGTTTCAGTTATCTAATAAATATATTAAGAGTAAAAAATTGAAAATTTTGAATATTGAACTATATATGATTGAACAAGTTTCGAATTATTTGTTAAATTTTTAACGTTATATTAATGGCTTATGAGATATTTCATTATCATTCTTGTTCAGTACGAATTTAGAGGTTATATAACTTAAACTATCTTATCATATGAGTGTCTATCTCTTAATAGTCTACCGAAATCATTTATTCTGTGAATAGTTGTATACTTCAAATGATTCTCGAAGTATAGCATGAATGTTCTACCGGTCGATCTTGTATACAAATGTGGTAAATTAGATTGAATAGTAATATTGTAATAGTATTTAATACAGTTGCACTCAAACGAATGATAAAGATTTTTCTTAACCGACATTTTAGAAATGAAATTGTTTCAACTTAGTTCATATCTATGATGTTATTTATCAAATATCCTCTTAGTACCAGCATGATTCTTATTTAAACAATGTACTAAAGACTCAAATAATAAAGCTATACAATACAAATCGTGTGTCAATCCATTGAAAATAAAAATAATCGATGAATCTCCTTTCTTTTTACCTTTTTAATATCATTAATTTCTGTTTCTTTTTGTCTAAGTATAACTTGTAATCGTTCATTTTCACCTAGAAATAATTCTTAATTTTTATTAGATTTAATTAGAAAAATGTATCTACCATCAGTTTCTGTTAATTGTGCTTTCATTTGATTATATCGTTCTTTTGTTTGTTTTTCTGAATGTTCAAGTTCTCGAAATTCTGCTTCATATTTATCTCGAATACGTCTAAATAAATCGAAATATATTTTCAAAAAAAAGAAAGAACGGAGAAATTATTTTACTTGACACGATTTTCTGCTGTACGTTCAGCTTCTTCTTTAGTCATTGATGTATCTGAGTCGAATTGTGAAATAATTTTTTCAATTTCTCTATCACGTTCACGTCTCATTTGTTCTCTTAATTCACGTTCTTTCGTAGCTAACGATGTTTCTTGTTTTTTCATATAATTTTCTTCCCAACTTTGTTTTTCTAATGCTAATTTTTCTTTTAATTCATGTATTTCACTTGCATGTCGTCGTTCTGCTTCTAAACGTATAGCTTCATATTCACGTTTAGCAGCATCAGCAGCTGTTCGATGATTTTCTTCAATATCACGTCGAAGTCTAGAAATAAAAACAATATCAATTTAAATCTCAATAGAAGAAAATAATTTACTTATCAAGATCAGCACGTTGTCTAGTTGCTAATTCTGCTTGTCGATTTTTTTCATCTTCGATTTCTGTATAAAGTCTTCGACGTTGTTCAACAAATGATTTTTCTTCATCACGTATAGCTTTCTCATATTTTTCTCGTGCTGAATCACGTTCACGAGCAATAGCTGATTCTTTTTCACGTTCTAATTGATCACGTAAATCTTCTGTCATACGAACATAACGTTGAGCTGCACGTTCATCAGCAGCTAATAATTCAGCTTCATGAACTGTTTTCATTTTAGCTAATTCAGCTTTATGTTTACCAATTAATTTTTGTATTTCAGGTTCTAAACCACGAACAGTTAATTCTTTAATTTTTTTTGTTTTTTCGTCAATCCAACGTTCACGTCGTAATTTTTCTGCTGCTTCATGAACATCTTTTAATTTTTGTAATTCAATACGATGTGATTCTTCCATATTTTTTAAACGATCACTAGATTTTTTATCAATAGTTTTTAATTCAGTAACTAAACGTTCACAGCGCTCGGATAATTTCTTTTTATCATCAATTAACTAGAGAAAAAAACAAATAAGAAATTATCATGAATAGAAGATAGACAGTTGACTACAACGTATTACAGTCAATGAGATTAAATTTAGTCTACAGTAGTTTCTCTCGAATAGGTCAAATAAATACGATTAAGAAAAAAATAAGAACCTGATCAATAAATGATAAATGACGTTGAATGGTGCTTTCATAATCATCTTTTTGTAATTGTAAACGATGTTCTAATTCACGTTCAGATTCTTTTGCATGTCGAATATTTAATTCACGTTGTTGGTTCTAAATATAAAATAAATTATTTGATTGTCTTATTACGTAAAGATAAATATACCAATCTTTGCTGAGAAATCATCAATTGTCGTTGTTTTTCTTCATTATCCATTCTTAATTGTAGAACTGTTTCTGTTACATCTTGTGCTGTACGTGTTGCTTCATGATCAAGATCATCATTATCATCATATTGAAATTCTTCATCTGGTGATTTTCTTGGTTGTACAGTAACTGCTAAGGACTTATGTGGTGTTGTTACCTGAAATGTATTAAGTTATAGGTTTTTATTTAAAATTATTTTTGATTTACTTTATTTTGATGCTTTATTTGTTGATCGACTGATGGTGACGCTCGAACTTGTGGTACAGCGACTGATTGTGCTAATTTTTTTGGTTGTTGTTGTTGTTGATGTTGTCGAGATGATTGAGGTGGAGTTGTAAATCGAACTGTAGAAGGTGCGGTCGATTTTTGAGATCGAACACTTTCAAGAGTAATATCATTATGATTCGCTTCATCCAAATAAGATAAAATAGAATCAACACGACTTGGAGGTTGAGATGGTACTTCATTGGCAATAGGTGGAGGTGTTGATGAATCAATCAAATAAGCTAAATTAAGCAGATGCAATAAGAAAATATTTCCACTTTTCTCTTATTTTTATCGATTATTCAATCATACCGGAATCGTTTTCAGGTGAAGATTGTACAGGAAATTGTTCGACTTCTTCTAATTTTCTTAATGTTTCATAAACATCAGTTAATGTTACTTTGGATGTAATTGAACTATCAGATGTGACTCTCTATTTAAAAACAAACGTTAATTGAATTCGAATAGAAAAAGAAAGGATTCATACATCATCAATATGTGGTGAAGGTGGAAGTGGCGATGGACCATGATTTGTTCGTTGTCTAGCTGATGATGGTCGATGATTAGGTGTTGATGGACGACGTTCATCGAGTTTATTATGATTTTCATATTGTAATTTTTTTCGTTGTTGTTGTTGTAGTTGTTGCTGTTGTTGTTGTGTTTCCTGTAGGATAAAATCATGTTAATATATTAAAAAGTATTAAAATATTACTTTAAGAGTTGTTAATCGTGCTTGACGTTGTTTATCATCTCGAGCTCTTTTTTGTTCTAGTAAAGATAATTTTTCTAATTCTTTTGTTCGTTCCATTGATGCATAATGTTCAACTTTCTTTTGTTCTAATACTCTTTAATAATGAAAATAGTAATAATATTTCAAATAGATTAATTCAAATTCTTAACAAACCTTTTCAATGCTGCTTCAGCCATTTTACGTCTCATTTGAATTTTTCGATACCAACGTTGAATAGTTATTGAAGCCATTTTAGCTTTTAAATCAACTTCAATTGGTGTTGCTTGAGATATACCAGCCATCTGAGATGCTGGCATATGTTGTCCACGTCGATTATGACTTGATTGAAGAAGATTTGTTCCTCCATTAAGACTATCACGTGAAATACCTACAGGACCTACACCACGACTGTGTTGTTGTTGTTGTTGTTGCTGTTGTTGTGGAGTAAATGAAGAATCTATATGATGAAGTTGATCAATCCAACGATGTGTATCATCCCAGTCATCATCATTAGGTTTTTGTTGAAATGATTGTCGATGTTGTTGTTGCTGTTGTTCTCGATCAGTAAAAAATGCATCGACATCATCATGCTGTGGACTTGACCCACGAAATGCATTGGATGATATTAATGGAGACTAAAATATGAGAAAATTTTGTTTTCTGACATTTAAATATATAAAAGCAATCTTTCATAAATAGAAAATTTAGCTAAAAAATTACAATGATTAAGTTTCCTACTTGTTTAGCATCAGGTGTCGGTGATGTAAGCCAGGCAGGTCTTTGACCATGATTACTATTGCGTCTAAAATTGAAATAAAAGTAAATTTTTTTTACAAGATATTCAATGAAAATAAAATTACCTTTGTCGAGCACTACTTATATTCGAATTTATTCGATGTTCTTTACCACTTCCTTAAAATCAGCATATATATAATAATTATCTAGATTTTATTCATTGTAATTACCTGGTCTTGCTGATGTTGTGGGTTGTTTTGCTTGAGAATGACTTCTTGCACTAGTTGAACGTGATGAACTATTTCCTGATGGTTGAACTGAATTTCCTTTTAATGATAAATTATATCCATCATTTGGACGATAAGCCATTATTAGTCTTAACGAAATAATATTCGTAAAAAAAGAATCATTTCTTTCATTTTCACCATACCTCTATTCTTTAGTCTATAGAATACTTAGTAATAGACTTCATTTTTGATCTAGATGTCAGTAGAAAACAAATTTGAAAACCCCATTTGATTGGTTTAGAAATCAGACCTAATCATATTCATGCATTCATCAGTTGTCTAAAGATTAAAATTAAAACATTCTTACTGGCTTATATCGCATCACAGAATAAAATGTCCAATAACAGTTAGTTGAATTTTAAATTTAACTTATATAAAATAAAGACCTTTCTTTTATTTTAGCTGAAACTGTTTCTACAAATGATGATAAAACTGAAAATGAACCTAATAATATAAATACATCAACACCTATCCGTTTATTTGGACAATTTAAACAAAATGGATCAAGTTTCAGTAATTTTCGTCAATTATCTTCAAATGGAGATAATTCTCCATCACCATCAACAACAACGACGACCAGCTATTTTGCAAACACCGTTTCAAAAATATCATCAGCAAACAATGGAGGATTTGGTTCATCATCAACATCCTTAGCTGCATCACTTGCTCCACTTAGTTCGAAGTATAAAATATATATAAAAGTTTTTAGTTATTTAATGATTTATTCTTTCTAGTAAACAACTATTTGGTGCAACAAATGATGCAAAATCAACTTTATTGGCAGAAAAAGAGGAGAAAGAAGAAGATGATAATGATGATGATAAAGAAGATGATGATAATGATGAAGATGAAAATAATAAAACAACACCGTCATTATTTGAAACAGCTGCTGAATATGAAGCTAAACGAGCATCAACACATCCAGCAGCTAATATTCAAGGTGATACATCAACCGGTGAAGAACATGAAGTAACAAAATTTCAGGTTTGAAAAATTTGAATTCTTATTTTAAAAACAAATCTATTATTGAAATATATATGTATATATAGATGGCCGGAAAATTATATATGTATAGTCCTGAACAACAACAATTTGTTGAACGTGGCTATGGTATTTTGAAAATAAATGAATGTCATGATCCATCGGATTGGAATAAATTACAAGCACGATTGAGTCAGTTATTTATTTCAAATAGAATCACAAAGATTAATGAGACACAAATTTTATATTCGAAATAATAGATTTTCAGTTTTTTGGTGATTTTTTCTTCATGATTATGTACGTGATACTTCAATAGATACGAACATTTTAGTGGATACAGATCGTAATTAGGAGTTGAAAAACAAATAGAACTGTAATCAATAGAAATAGCCAAACAGTACATTGAGAATATTAATAGTACAATTCAAATCAGAATCTGAATTAATTTTATCTCTATGAAACGATGAACACTGTATAATTATATATAATATATTTATACGAATAAAGTTACAGTCATTCTACTAGTCTCATCTTGATTTCTATACTTTAGAATCAATAATTATTTGTTAGATATAACACTCTGATTTTAATTGACTCTACCAACTTTATGTTACTTCAATGCATTAAAGTCAGCTGTTTCCTAAATGGTTCGATTCATAAATCGTTTTCCAGTGCAAATATACACGAATAAACGAAGACGCTAAATAGTCCGTAAAAACACATCATAAAATGAACAACAATTAGATCAAAGGATGTTCTTTATAGTTTTAGTTCCCTTTTGATACGATCAGTTTGCAGTATACATATCTATAATAAATAAATGAAACTTTTACTTTCAGTTAAACTTAAAAAAACGATTTTTATTTTGTTTTTTAGTCATGAGACTTGACAAATCATTTCGTGTTATTCTCAATTCACCAATATTTCCAAAAATGACTATTGAACGAGCAACAGATCGATCAGTACGATTTGGTGCACAAGATGAATCTCAATTACGAGTATTCATTATCAAAGTGAATTATTTTCATTAAAAAATACAAATTTTTCATTTTCTTTTTTTGAAATTATTTAGTCTTCAACAAATGAGTGTACTAATTTATGTAAAGAATTAGAATCACGTATACAAATAATCGAACGACAACAAACTACACCGTCGTCATCATCAGCATCATCATCAAATGTCACTTCACCTGTATAACCTTCGAAATCTTATTATTTATAAATATTGTTCTTTTTAGATTAAAACAAATCTAAATACTTCTGATACCTCACCTACGGACAATTTATCCACTCGTATTCGTAAACGATCTCATTCAAGAAGTGATTCTGATACATCAGATAATACAAATGATGTATCAAAAAAATCTAAGTATAAAATTATTTACAATAGACATTTTCTTTTTTTTTTAATTATTACTCTATTTGTTTTTTGTCTAGAATAATTGAACAATATCAAGATGATCATAAAAATACAAGCGACGAAGATTCTATAGAAAGTACTAAAGCAGGCGAACAAGAAACTGCTATTTAAAACCCTATCAATATTCTCTCATTTTCTTTCTTTTTTTTTTAAATAAAGAACTTACACAGTAATGCATATATGAATATATAAAATAAAAATCATATTTTCTTTCTTTATTCAAGGTAAACATTGATTTTCAATCATAATCTCATTATAGAAGTAATATTTTCGATTGATAATTATACTAATCTTAAAATACTGAGAATAATAATCATAACATTTGTTTTTATTATAATTGAAGTCGATCTCACTCTGCTATGGTTGATTCAAGGTTTCTTTTTTATATACAAATATGTTTGTGCTCCATGGGTGTATTCGATAGACTAGTATATCACATGATGCATTTATTGAGTTAATTGAATCTGTTTTTGTGTTATCATGTAACATATTGTGTTGTGCTTAACCTATTTATTCTTGAGTTTTTTTATTCTAAAAAAACATTCATTTATATTATTTTCTACTTGAATTAATGACGATATGTGAAATAAGTAAATATATATTTGTCACAAATGCTTTAAAGAAAATAACTATACAATAGATGTAAATGAATTGTTCTATTGGTATTCATACAAAAACGATACTCCAGAGAAGCATAAAATGAGGTTTCCTTTTGACAATATCTATTATTCTATATTTAGTATGTGAATGTCATTATCATGGTTTTCCTCTTTCTGCCTGTTGGACACACGTGTATGTAGGCGTCTTTGCAATATCGTATTGCTGTCATATATGTGTTTATGCAATGAGTATATAAATATATATATAGAGAGAGAGAATTCGTCATCTTGTATGTATTCACAACTGTTCTTCGCGCGGAAGAAATACGAACGTGTGCCATTGGATCGATTTGCAAGAGCATGTCTTTCTCTCTCTCTCTCACACTCTCGTCGTTTTTTGATGGAGTAGTAATTAGAAAGCATAGAGAGGAGAGCACAATGAATACAATCGGTCCGAAGAGAGATGACGATTCTTCATTTTTTTCTCTCCTCGTCGTATTCTTACTTCGAACACATCAATTGTTCTGTTTTTCTGTTCTCTATCCTTTTCGTTGGGTGAGTTTCGATCATTTGTTTAGTAAAAGGACAAAGGAAAAGAGAGAGAGCGAAAGAGAGAGAGAGAATATGAGTGTTATTCTTTTTTTTTTCATTTCGTTTCATTCTTTATATGATTCGAACATACGAAGAACAAATTTTACTTTAGAAAGAACAAGATGTTGGTCACTTCTTCTCAGTCATCTACACAACGACCACTAGGTTTATCTGTAGAAGAATTATTTGCATTGGATCGTCAATATCGTCGTATCGAACAGCAACAACAACATGTAGCACAATTACAAGCACAAGCACGTATAACATCATCGAATCTCAATCGTTTAGCTAGTCGATCACTTGATTTTGTTTCATCACCATCATCAAATCCAGTAACTATTCTTCCATCACTTGAAATACATGGTCATGGATATAATAATCGATCACAACCTTCACCATCATCCGGTCTTAATTACCCACGATCACATTCCATAGATCATCTCAGATATATACCTCCACCTCTACCACCACCTTCTCTTATAAAACATACTTATCCACAAAGATCTACAAAAAATAATATTGGACATCAACATTATCAACCAAAGTATAAAACTTATTTACAAGTAATATTTTTCTAACTAAAAGGAAACTAATTGAATCTTGATGTTTTTCAGCAACCTATTACATCTAATAGTAATACATCATTAACAGGAAATAGTTTTATGTATGATTTATCTCCATCATCGATTGATTATTCTGATAATCGAGGTTCTTGTAAGCTTCGTCGACAACATCCAATTAAACGTGAATCATCACGTCGTATTGTTGTTCGACCTCTTGTTCATCGACGACGTGAACCATCACTAAGTTCATCATGTGAATCATTAGATGAAACACGTTCATATAGTTATCATCCTAGAATCGAATCAAATATGTCACATTCATCAGTATTATTGGCACCTTCAAATTCATTCGTAGAAAGTACAACCGAGGATTTTTCACCAAAAAAAATTAATAAAATTATTCATAATCAAATAAATAATGAGACATCATCTGATGATAATGAAACAAATCTATATGAAATGCGTATACCAATTGGTAAAACATATGATACATCAGATATCAGTGTACAATTAGAAGGACCAAAAATTTTAATACATTGTCATACAATTGAACCAACAGATAAACGTGGACATTATAGTAAACATGAATTAAAAACTGAATTATTTGTACCAGATGTTGTTGATGATGAAACAATTGTTGCTTATTTAACAGAAGATGGAGAATTAATTGTTGAAGGAAAATATCATTTATGGGCATGGCAAGAAATTAAAAAGAAGAGACATATTGAACAAAAAGAAATGAATATTTCTCCATCTTCAGTTAATCCAAAATTAACATCAACAAAAAATGATTCAGGAGGTAACAATTTCATAGAAAAGAAAAATTAAGTTTTCAATAAAATTAGTTAAGAAAAACTGAAAATATAAATAAGCATAGTATTTTATCTATTAAAAGAGATTAATATATTTAAATCATTCTAATCAATCTTCTGCATAGAAATCGTTTCTTTTTTTATATTTAAAAACATATTTTCAGTATAGGTCAATTTTTTGACATATCAAATCATGACGTAATAGTGGTAAATTTTTAATTACCATTAAAAGTAGTAGAACTAACTATTTTGCAATAGATCAATGCATGTAATACTTTCACAGAATATTAGAATCATACAGCGTTTAGCTTTATAGATGAATCTGAACAATAAATGGTATTTTTACAGATTATTAAACTATAGAAAAATATTTTTTGAACTTAAAAAGTGAATCTCTATCGATTCTATTTTTAGTGTATTTAATATACTTCTTAGATAAATTTTCACTGAATAAATTATTATTTATTCTCATACTAAACTCGAATTTTATTCGATTTTTTTTGTTAGCATAATATTTTATATAAAGTTAATTAATTAATCTTAATGTCGATCAGCATCCTTTCACAGATCAATAAAACTGATAATGATTATTATTCTACTCTATTAATATTTAATCGACAACGGGTATAAAATATTGACCGAAATAATAAAGAGAATCTGATGATCGTTGTTTATCAAGTTTTAATTGATTCTATGAATATTCTCGTGTACTTTCTACTATTACAGAAAGAGTTGTCCTCATTTTACACATAGGTGAAAATGTCAGTCTCGAATTTCGTTTCTAGAAATTTGACAACTCTGCCAAAGATGTTTCTGTTTCTTTGGGAACAGAAACCCTAACATTTCTATTCAAAGTTCTCATCGTCATTCTCTTACTAAATAAATACTATTGAAAATTGCCTTGAAAAGATCTATAAACAATCGTCTATTTTTTACCCTGAATCCATTTAAATCCGATATCGATGTGTTGAATAAACAAGCAAGTAGTAACTTGAAATAATCTTCTATGTCTCGTTTGTTATTCTTGTATGTTTGCTCACATTCGAGTGTCTTTTCAGCACTATTCAGTCCACTCAAATCAATTGTTGATTGGGTCAGTAAGAATTTTATTCTTTTTAAATATCATCTTTTATCAAGCATGGTGTGTGTGTATACTTGTTTTATTTTTCAGCATGGTGTGGATTTTCTTTTCTTTTTATTAATATTCCTTTCATAATTCGATTTTTTGCATATAGGTTTGGAACAAGAGGGAATGATTAATTCATATGCATCAATCAATAATCGACCACTACATAATACTTTACATCGAATTGAACAGCTAGAAAATAATCGAACTGTAATACATGTTGGTGAGTTAACACCATCTCAACAACATTCCGATACAAAAAGTGTAAGTGACATTATAAATCGTTTTAATACATTGAATAAAAGTTCACTATTGAATATGTACGATGGACAATATTCATTTACTAGTGATAATCCACCTATACTTATTTATCATCTTCGTTTATCATTTGAAACATTGATGGATGAAGTACGTGTACAATCTGATCCAAAATTAAATATATTAAAAATTTTTATCGAACAACAAGAGAAAAATCTATATGAAGAACAATCAGAAAATAAAATAATTATACGATCGACATCACGTATATGTCGTTTACCACGAGATCATACATATGATTATACTCGTTTACGTGTGAATTTTCTGAAAGATAATTTCATTCGTATTGAAATACCTACAATAAATTGAATATATATATATTAATTATTTGATTTCATATGATACCGGTGATTGTTTCACACATTTTCTCTCTCTATCTCTTTCTTATTCTTGCGTTTTAAATATACTCATATTTATATATATATACATATATATTGTATGTTTTGTGTTTTTATAAATGTATAGTAATCGTTTTCGACCAAGTGTGATATATTATTCTTAGTATTTGATTTGAAATTATTGTTCATATAAGAAAATATTAGAAATTATAAATAAAAAGAACCTTTATGATCAAATAAATGAATGTTTATTAAATTTCGTTTCTTTTTAATTATCTATAAAACTTATCATTGAATCCCATGATAGGAATATTCAAGAAGTGGTTTTAAAAAGTATACAAGACAACAAGATTAAAATTACAGTTTGAGAGAGAACTATAATTTACAAGTTGGATAATATTATGCTAAATCTATTTGTTCAAAAGTTAATTGTAGTTCATCAAAGTTTAATAGTCGAAACAAAATGGCATTTATTATTGTTTAATAATCAGTTCACTAGTATCTATATCAATGTTAGTAATAATGATAATTTACAATAGCATATCGAGTAATACTATTATTATATAATTTAAGTTTTGAACAAAAATCAAATAAATGATTGAGTCAAAAATGTTGATAAACATAAACAAAGAGCAACAACAATTATTAATATGATTATAAGTATAATATCATACTATGTCAAATATTCAGAATAAATTTAAAAAGTTTAATTTGAAAAATACATATTTTTTTGATTAATTACATAGAAGCTATATAACTTTTTATGCTCGTCATAAACAAACAAATATTAAAATAACATCTATGACATCGCAAAATCTCGACAATATATATATAGTCGATAAGAAAAGAAAGTAGTATCTTGACAAATTCTATAACAAAAAATGTTTACTTTATTTGTCGAGAAGATTTTCATATGTTTGAGATAAATATAAATAAAAGTATTTTTTTGAAATATATAGTCATCTCTAACTAATAAAACTGTTGGTTTGTTCTTCATAATGCATGTAATTAAAATAATCTTTTAAAAATTTTCAGACCAGTCATCTATCATAATAGGTAGTGCATCGATATTTTTGCAGGGCGTACGCGTGATCGTATTTGTTCACTTTGCCTACTCATATGCATTGTGCCAGTCCTGTGCATACTATCACCTAATATCTACCGATATTATTTCATTATTTCAAATAAACTAAGTTATTTAAATTTTTTAACTGAATAATTCCTACAAAACATAAAACATCTACAAGAGTTACATAAAAACCCAAGTAGATGATTCCTGAAGCAGTACTCCATGAATAGCCCACCAAAATCCTCAGGAAACTCACCGTTTTCGACAGGAATACTATTTCCATGAAGCCTCCGGAATATGACGGAATCGGCTGTTTCCGTGCCGAATTGTTCGACCTGGGAATAGCAAACACATGCATCATATGTTGACAGTCCCATTTAGTCCGACTTTACAATGCATATATCGATATGTATACTGCCATTAATTATCATCTATTGCAGAATAAGATAACAATTTTTCAATAATTTTACTGTTGTCAACTAGTAATTCAAATATATTTTACATATTTTTATTAGTAATTCCTACAGTTGATATAATATCATATAAATCCATCTGATAAGATTCTTAAGCAACATTAAGATAAACGTTTGTCATGGAACAGCTCACATATTTCTGTCTACCTACAACCTTGAGGTTTTTTATTGTTATTTTATATGAAACTAAGACTTTGTGTAATTATTTTAATTTTAATACAAATGAGAAAATTTTCGATATTGAGCGACCATTTTTAATCTAAAGTTGCATTTCAAACTGGAGCAATAAAATAATATATAAGTAAATTAGTATTATGGTTTGATGTCAAATAAACAATTTTACAACAAAATTTATGTATAATAACAACGTATATGATAATTATGATTACAATGTTTGAATGTTGTGGATAATAAGAAAAAATATATCTGTTCTTTGTTTTCGTATTGTTTTGTAATATCTCTATAGGGTGAAAATAATCATTTAAGGTCGAAAATTTCTATAATTGTATTAAAATTAAAATAGTTACAGAAAATCTTACTTTCATTTAGAATACTTTATAAAGGACATTTTGAAGGAAGAAGTGAACACGAAAAGTATTTTTTATTTAAACTGCTAGATAGTTATTAATCAAACTATTGAGTATCGCTACATACTAATAGGCGATGAGAAGAAACCATACATTGATGAAGTATGTAATTACTTTCAAAAAAAAATTATCTAGGACGTATTGAAGAATGAAATGAATATGGAAAATACTGTTTTATTAACGTATTAAATAGTTATTGATCAAACTATTGCGCATTGATACGCACTGACAAACGGAGACAAGAGACTATGGATTGATGAAGGACGTAATTAGTATCAACAGATATTTTGAATACAGAAATGCATTCGTTTAGGTGAAGAGAAAGAAAAAGAAAAAAAAGAAAGTGATTACTTATCTTTGTTTGATCGACAGATACTAAATGAGTATGGATATGAAATAAATTAGTGTTTGTTTATATGTTGTGATCAAAAAGCATTGAGTTTCGACGCACATGTTTCCTATACTGTTATGTGATGATTAGTTATACTATCGAAAAATAATATGAAAGGGATTTTTGTTTTAAAATATGAAAAAAGAATTGAAAATCATTAGGATGTCCAATTTGAATATGAATTGCTATTAACTCACCATAAAATATGTTTTATAATGAAAAAATTGGATAATCAAATGAGGAGTTAAGTATCCGCATGAAGGTTCTTAATGTCATATAAATAAGACTAGACTATAAAAAGATGGTTGGATTGAACTTCGCATATTAATTTATTTTAAGTGTGAATGTCTTATTTCGAAAAAATTGAAGTTATCGTTTACATAATAGTTTGATTATTATTATTTTTCTGATAAATTATTGATAAGTATTTATTTCTTTAAATATTATTTAATACACGATAAAAATCGTTACATGTTCTGTATTATGAAGAAACCGATCCGAAAAAATAGAACTATCATATATAAACAATGAATTAGCAGTTAAGCCGTTTGTAGCATTGTAGTATTTTAGCAATATGAGTATATTTATCTTGCGAAAGAATTTGTTACAATAGATTTCTTTTCGTATTGTACTGACGACTATTTCATAAAAACTTCATATGATCGAAGATTGATTCACAAAAAATATTCGAAGCTGGCATAGAAATAACAAATTGTATTAGTTTTCACAACTGAAGTACGTTTATAATTGTATCGTATATTTTGATGTTTACAGTGTTTCTTGGAATCTCTAACAGTTTAGTCTTCATTGATTACAATCAGAACCAACTTAAATATCAGATCCAGAATACAAATTATTTTCATTATGTGCCGTTGTCTCATCTTGTTTCGATAGAAGTATCAGGAAAAATGCCATTTCTTCTTCTTAAATACCACATTTGATCATGGTACCAGAATGTTTTTGTTTTGTTTGTTATGACTTTGATTCATAATTTTGTCGAAATTCCACTTGAGAAAGTGCTTAAAGACTTTAAGAAAACCAACTCTTGGTACCAGAAGATTTTTTTAGCAAAGAGAGCAGTCCAAAAACCACAATTCTCGTGGCAGTCATGAATGTAATGTAATGTAAGGCCACAGAGCAAAAACGTGACTATTCAGTCGTAGTTTCATACAGAAAAGAAAAAAAGAAAAAAAGAAAAATGAAAACGAACAGAACACAAAAGCAAAATACAAAAAAAAGGAGAGAACGATTGAAAAGAGTCTACAGTATATAATCAGTTAGGTATGACTGATATTTTCACGTTCGACTAGATACAGTTTAAATACAACAGGAAAGAGTAAGTCACATTTTTATCACAAATTATCGATTGTGAGAGCAGAGCAAAGAAAATTTTCAAATTATAAATACTTGCCGAAAAATGGGGACAGCTTCTATCATATTTCAATGCATATATATAAATTTTATACTATAGAAATATTTGACGAGTATCTGTTTGAATAAATGGATGTATGTATAGATGAGAGCGTAGGTGTATGTTTGTGCAAGAAAGTTATAGTAACTACACTTACACCCTTCTATCTTTATTGTCTTAACTCTAGTTCATGATTTTTTTTACAGCATGCAATTAAATCGTGTCACTTTTATGTTGTCTATGGTTTCGATCATTATAGTGTCAGCTATGGTTTGGTTCTATTTTAATCCGAGAAAAGGATTTCTAAATAATTATCAAATCCTAATAGATGACACAAAAACCTCAATATCCTCGAGTCACGAAGATCTGTGGTACTTGAAAAATTTACCAGAATCAAAGGAAACTTTCAATGAGATTCTTCGCATCGAATCTCAGATCTTCTTTTCTCGCCGCATGTATCACTGCCCTCTACATGCACTAGCCACTGGAATGCCATTAATTCCTAAGTGGTTTCAATTGAAAATGAAAAAATTTGATTTAATTGAGGAAAAGATTTATAACAATCATAAAACGATGAAAAAATCAACATCAACTAATTTTTCAGAACTGGATTGGAATCAAGAGAATTTACTGCCTGGAAACGATATAAAGATTGGATATTATATCATTGTTAATTCAATAGAAGACTTATGGCGAGTGAAAAAATTAATTTACGCCATTTTTGTTCCAGAACATACCATCATTGTGGTGCATTGTGACCTCCGAATACGTACTTCGAGCGAAGTTTTAGAATTCAAACAGTGGCTGATTAGGGAAGGGTTTCTATATCCATATGTCTGGTTAATTGACACTGAAGAATCACTCATTGGTCGTTATGGATCAATATCAGTTGTTTACATCGAACTGTTGTGCCTTTATACTTTGCTTGTTTCTCCATTTGGTCACGCCATAGATTCTTTCATCAGCATGACACCTAATGACTTTCCGATCAAATCTAGAAAAGCAATATTGAACCGACTATTTGTTTATCAAAAATACTCAATGTATAATACTGGTCCGGTATGTCCAGGTCAATTTTGTACGCGTCTTGAAAACTTTTATTGTTATGACAATGGTGTGAGTCCTCGAAGAGACGAACCAGAGCCAGTCCCACTCGACACTTTACTACATATCAATTTTACAAACGATTTTCTATCAAATAACAGATTGACTACAACAGAAAAACATGTACTTCGCGTTGGAGCAGGGTGGACGATATTATCGCTTGAATCTGTTTTTCATATGTTTCATACAATCAATAGAAATTTATTATATTATTGGCTTATATACTATCACAGTGCCTTTTCTCCGGATGAATTCTTTTTTCAGACATTTTTCTATCTTTTGACAAGGCCATTCAATAACAACCAACATCTCAAGTTTTATCATAATGCACTCAAGTACTCATCAATAAATGGATCACTGCATCTTTGGGATGCCTTGGGTTACTTGGATGACTTCGCAAATCAGTGGAGATATATACACTGGCGTGGAGAGCTAAGTCCCAGTATACTCGACCAAGACATTGTTCGTATGAAAAAATCTTCTGCACTCTATGCGAGAAAATTCGACAATATGGAATTGTTTAAACAGTGGACTGTTGAAACAGGACTGTATAGTGACTTACGACCTTATGAGAAGTACTAATATCAGAATATATCTTTGAGATGTCGTAAAATTACTCTGTTTTTATTATAAATCTATATATGATTCAATAAATAGAGTTATATCAACTAATTCTTGATTTTTTTTTCTCTTTATTTGATTTAGGCAATAAATAATTGTTTTTATAAATTTCATAGTGAAAAATTAGTTATTTATTCTCGATAACTTTTGTAAATCTTCTAGGAATGATTTATTTTAATTCATTACAGTTTTAGGTTGTCGAAATCATTTACATCAACGTATATCTGTAGGCGGCGCTATTTAATGAAAAAAAAAGGTATACTATTTGCGTTTTAAAAGTTGAATAATTGCTCAGCCGCCTTGGTGGCTCAGTCGGTAGAGCGTCAGTCTCATAATCTGAAGGTCGTGAGTTCGATCCTCACCCGGGGCACTTATTTTTATGATTTAAAAACAGTATTAAATCAATTTCATACGATACTTGTAATTTTAAGCTAAATATTTATTATTTTATATAAAAATCAAAGATTACTCATTCAGTGAAAGGTTTTAGTGTTTTTTTGCGCAATACACAAATGTATGTGCAAAGACTCTAGATGGTTGTTACCGATAAATATCGATTGAAAGTTTTCTTTTGATATAAGTATTCTAAATTCGTCATAATATATAGCTTTATCAATATTAATATAAACCTTTTCAATATGACTTTTTAAAACAACAGTTGTTGCATATTCATTAATTCCTTAGTGATAAGTTTGCTAATTCTTTACAATTAATAGATTTTAAATGATCTTTATCTAAAATGTGACATGCTTATTATAATTTATCTTTTTAATAATCTCTCATAGCAAACGGACGTGAAATATGAAGAAGAGAATCCTGAAATAATAATATATTTTGAATATTTTTCGTCAATAATAAATGTATTAAATATCCTACTGTTCTTCTTTTTTATATATTATTCTACTAGATATATTTTCAAAACTAAATTCTTCAAAGTAGTAATGAATTTTATTTATATGATTATTAGCACGAGTATTTACATTTTTTACTCTATCTACAACAGGTTTCTGTTCTTTTTATCATGAGGAGTCACCCTGTTGCGTAATACTGAACTCTGAAAAGTTCTCGTGTTCAATATTTTGGAAGAAAGTATAGTTCTTACAGTTTTTTAAAACTTCTCAAGATTCTCTAGTTGAATAGCTGGAATCATTAAGAATTCATTCAGAGGAAAATAAGTTCAATACTCTTTATTCAACATAGTTTTGATATACAAGATATTCGAAGAGTCATTTATCAAAAGGTTTTGTATATATCTTTCCTATATTATTCAACGATATCTATAAGTTTTTATATTTCGATCAAAGGGAATAGTTTTGTGTACTAGCGAAAATTGCTCAGATAAATCAAAACTTGGTTTATTTGTTCAATAGTAATGTTCTAGTTTCCACATGTGTAGGTAAATTCCATGTATTATTATCATTGTTACTTTTATCTTTAAATTGTATGACGAAAATCTTTGTAAATTGCATCTATAGTGAAATACAATGTACTTATGTTTAAGGAGTTTAAAAGTTAATCATATTCATGACTATCTGTAAGACTTTGTTTTTTTCTTATTATAAAATAAGATGCATATCATTAATTATATTTACTCGTAAGTACATCAACATGTCTTTATTAAATAGAAAACAAAGAGAATATGGGTAAACGTATGAAAAATTATGCTTTTTTTTAAAATAAGACAAGCAGGACTATTACGATAATTATTCATGTCATTGGTAAACACAAAGTACTATTGAGATAATAATAATATATCATTTTTGATTAATTATGAAAGTGCCAGTGTACTATGAATTGTTATAACAAACATTAGTAATAATTAAGAAAAACTTAACTATAATCTGTAGTCATTGTTTTTACTCATATTAACATATGTCTGTTTCATAATACCATCTACGATTTTTGTTAATATAGGATCATTTAGATAAACATACTGTCTTCAGTATGTCCGCATTGTGTAGTTCATTTCAACAACAATGTATAAAAATTAATTATTAATCGTCGATTAAATTGTTCACACAGGCAAAACTATTGCTCTATGTACAATTTTTTTCCAATAAGCTTTCAAAATTTTAATCAATTCAGGTAAACTAAAAACACAAATAAATGGTTGTAATGGACAAACAAAATATGTTAAATAATTGAAATAATCAAGTTGTGGTATATCATCTAATAAATTTGGTAATAAAAATGATTGTAATATGGAGATAACAGTTGATGGCACCCATCCAATAATATAAAGTAATGAAAGAATAAATAATTGTAAAGTTAATTTTCTTTGTCGTTTCCAAGTTAAAACTTGTCGTTGACGAATTTTTCTCATTGAACGAATTACACGTATTACTAGTGTAATATTAGCGAAAATTATAGTTATCAATGGAAATGCGGTGTTTATTATCCAATCATAATTAAATAGTATGTTATCATCTGAATAACAAGGAACAATACAAGATTGATCATCTTCGTCATTAGAATAATCACATGGATAGAAAATAATAACAACAAGATAGAATAATGCTGGATAAAATAAACAAATAATAATTGGAAGAAAATGTAGTAACCATCGTCGTCGACGTATATGAAACCAATGAGCATTGAATATTAAAATATGTCGTTGAATACTAGCAGCAGCTGTCAGAAATATACTGATAACAAGAAGTGTATAATCAATCCAATACCACCAAAGACAAAATGATATTTTGCGATATTCATCATAACCTAGTCGATAATGAGCAATTGTAAAAGGAAGATCCACGGTCAGGTTTATTAAAGTAACAGAAACAAGTAATAAAACAAAATGATTATGTAAATTTTTTTTCACCAGTGCTAGTCGACTTCGACATAAAAATATAAGTATGCATAGACTACAGATGAGAGATAATATTTCAATAATTAATAAAATAATAAACTTAATAGGTTCACCATATACAATATCCTCAGTAATCGTACTATTGTCGTCTTCCATTATTATAGTTTAAAAGATATTTTGTAATTTATATATATACAGGAAATAGTATGTTATAATGATGTTCATTTCACTTCTATAGGCACATAATAACCATAAAAATCTATATAGAAAACTTTATTAAGTAAAACTATCTGACAGCAAAACTTTTTTATCTACTACTTTTTATTACAGAGATAATGATGTAATCCTTTTCTACTCTTCTGTTTAATACTATAATACTCAACATTTTCAAAGAATATTATAGAAAAATAATTGTCCGACATGTTTTCTTTAGTTACTCTTGTCTGTGAACCCACTTACTCAACAATATTTTCTCATATGATATTAATGAACTTGCAGATATTTCATAAATTAAATTTAAACTGATAATTCTATTCTATTCATCAAACAAATGTATAACTTCATACTTGCACTATAATCCTTTATGATACAAAGACGAAATATGTACAAGAGATTTCACATCATCAAAATCTTTATTATTAGTTTTTCACACTATACTAAAGATAATTTTATCAACATTATCTTACCTTGATCTGTTAAAAATATTAAAAAGCAATGAAATTTTAATCGCTTGCAAGCTTTTAATTATTACACAACTATGAATCTAAAGAGAAAATCGTAATTGGTTTGCTAACATATTTTATTATTTTTTGATGAAAATATAATAGTTTTAAAACATCAAATAAAAAAAGCTTAGCCATAATATCTTACCTTGATATGCAGTATTACATAGTTAGAAAATTCTCTTCCATTCTTTATTTATGTCAAGACTAGTAGACATACTTTACTGAAGAGATGCATTTTTTTATTTCTTATAAATTTAATTAACGCAACTACTTTTAATTTTACAGACATATTAATTCATTGATTTATGTATTACAAAACAAAATATTCTATATAAATAACAGTTGTAACGTAATATATTGATAAACATATGAAATTTTATGTTTTTATTATTACAACTACATTATCATGGTAATACCTTTTTTTTTCTTCGAATAAAAGTGTTCTTCAATGTAGCAGTTTTCATCTATAAAATTGAAACTGACAAATCTTTTTCCATGAAATAAATAATTTAATACATAAAGATTACCTTCTGTTCATCATAAAAAAGAATTAATTTTCTATTTTAAGTGCAATAGTCTATGACTGTTAGAACATAATCTTATATTAATAAACTTTAGATAGAATCGACGTATTCAATAAAACAAAATTCATTGTATAGTATTAAAATTAAGATAAACACAATGAATAATAGTTCGTTTAGACATTTATCTCTTAACAATTCAATAAAAATGAAACTATTTATTCTATGTAATTATCATCAAAGAAACTGATTTAAATCTGTTCTTGTCCAAAATATGTTTTATTAGTCTATTGCAAAAACCAATCTTCTAATCTGCAATTGATTTGTTGAATTTTTATAAATAATTGTATTTCAGCTTATATTGATTTTAAATGCTAGAACTAATTCTCAAATGAAACCTTGTTCAGATTAAATATCTATCATATATAACGTTTTTTTTTATTATACAGAAGAATTTTACTGTTCTTTGTCATCAGTTTCATCCTTAAACCACCATGGTTTTGGTTCTTCAGCTAATCGTTTTGTATCATGATGTATTGTAAATTCTGGTGTACCAGCAAGATTTGATGTATAAAATCGATCTATTTGTTTATCTTCAGTTAATTTTGTTTTATCAACAACGGCTATACGATTTAAACTAGACATATGATGACGTCGTAAATGATCTAACCAACAGTTAATTAATGATGTAAATGGTTTGCCTATAATACATAATGATAAAATAATACCATCATCAAGTTCATGTACTGATGGAGGGATGTAAAGAGAAGAACCAGGTTGAAAAGGTGATCGTAAATTAGTAACTAGAAAATAAGGAAAAGTTATAATTCAATAATAATAATAACAATCATTTATTTTATTGGTTAAATTTACCATCGTCAGTATTAAATTTTTCTAAATCTTTTTTTTTCTGCCAATATTCTGATGATGGATCGGCTCGTAATACAAAATATTTCAATTGTTTTTTTCTTAAATAAACTCCAAATGGACCTTCAATATAAATTGGTCGATCTGTTGGTAATGTCGATGTTAATTTAATTTGTTTTGGTGTATGAGTATACATTAACCATGAATGTTCTCCAGCAGGATGTTCGATATCAGATGAAGTATCAGTTGATGAATGTATATCAACTATTTTTGTTTCCATATCAACTGTTGATGTCATACGTTGAAGAGCTAATTTCGCTAAAACACGTTCATCATCTGGTAATTCCCATGGAATAGGATAAGGATTTTTATTAATAAATTTTGGTGCCCAATAAAGAAAACGTGCAAAACGTCGTACAGGATGTGCCCATGGCCCGAAAATTTCTCTTAACATATGTACAACTTCAAGATCAGGCGGAATACCATGAGATTCCATAGCTGATACAATAGCTGAAGCTGTTTCATTTTGTTTTGGCCAGAATCGAACGGATACTTGTATCATCGATTGATGACGATAAGGGCCAACAGGAAAAACAGATAAAAGTTTTTTATAAGAATCACTATCACGTTCAACACCAAAATCTTTCATACGTCGAAGAGCAGCTCGAATAAATTCAACATGACCACGACGATTTGGAAATTGAATTTTATATGCTTCAATAACATCCTATAAGAAGAAAAAAATATATCTTATTTATGAAAAATAAGAAAGATTTAAAAGGGAAACAAACATCATACAAGAAAAGCTTGTTTATTCTTTTTCTTAATATGTTCAGAATCAAATTGTCCAGTATGAAATGCTACTTGTTTCGTTGATATATATGGTCCAATCATAGAAGCAATATTTGCTTCATCATCCTGTGTATTTTCTTGAGTTTTATCGTTTGTATTTTGTTCTTGTTGTTCCCAATCATCATCGGAACGTGGTGCAGTTGATGATGCATATATTCGAGTTTGAAAAATAGGTATTCGACGAAAAACTAATGAAATTGATGGTTGTAGACGAAATAACATTTTTACATTTCGATTACTTTTTTTCTATCTTATACTAAGTTTTTTTTCTCTTAAGATTGGTTTGTCTTTCATCAAACACTGTATCTCAATGACTTGGCCAATAGAGATCGCTAGTAAACGGAAAGAAGAATCAATTAAGTGTATCGATATTAAAAGTAATCATATACCTGAAAATCATTCATCATAAAACGTTCAAACTATCATTTTCATGAAGTCGTTCTCTTTCATTAAGATATTTTCCGTATTTGTTTTTTTTGTCTTACAAATAGAATAAATACAGACGACAATAATATTTAAAAAAATAAAAATTTCATGTAAATATGATAGAACTAAGAGTAAATATCATGTAGAATTCATACTAAATTTTTGAAACATCGAGAATCTGTCAACATGAGTAGCGATAACATCAAATACTACTGTATAGAGAACAGCATCTGTAACTAATCAACAAAATTTATCATACAGATTTTGTATTTATTAAACATAATATTTACAGAGTATTGATAAACTTCATTTGATCTTTCACTATCGCCAACGATTTTTTTTGAAGAGAGACTCGAGATTGTAAGATATTCAAACCTATATATGTTGTCTAGAATTCCTTGGCTTAGTATCTAAACGACTGGTTAATCTTGTATATTTTTATGTTATATTACTTCTTGAATTAACGTAAAGGTAATATTTTTCAGAATTATTGTCAAATTTAGAACAAAGTAATTGTCAAGGAAATAAGTAAAAACAAAAGTTGATATTTAACAAGAACTTAATTAAAGCTTTAGTACAAGACGCAATAACTTCAGTAAATATTATTTCAAAGGCTCCATTTCATTCACTGACATTCACTAGTTGTTGTCTGATGTCAAAAGATAGAAAGAAAGATAATTGATGATGATTATATTAAAAAATATTCTGTAGTCATCAGTTAATCAATATTATTAAAGCACGATTGACGCAATAGTAATTCACATTATTAATATTCTATTCTATTTTAATATGCAAGGATTCTCAGTAAGCACTAACTGATATAATTTTTGATTTGTATGATAATATACATTCGAACTCAAAATACTATTATTTTTTTTCGTTATGCATACATAATTATTCTTTATCACAATACATTTGAAATACACAAGCTAATAAAAATATAATAAATTTTAAATATATCTAAGAAATCTATAAGATATAAGTTCAAATTCTAACTATGTATAGATTATTTATTGTTGTAAACAAAAAACAACTCGTTTATTTGAATATATTTTTACGACGGAATAATATATGAGGGCATATGATGTCTTGTTTTGACTTTCATACTTCGCCTATATGATTATAAGGTGATTTGTATTGATATTAAGTGCACTCATGTGTTGCATTTTTCTTTCTCGATTTACGTCTATCTGTTATTTATCAAAATTGAGTTTTGATCTATAGACAAGCGATACGCGTATATACGCACGTAGAGTGTAATGAATACTATATTTATATGGATATTTTGTATTGGTCTTGGTTTAATCGGTTTATTTGTTTTCGGATTTCTTGATATTTGTCTTCATATCCTGTTAAATTTTGCATATAATAGGCATAAGAAACTTCGTCGTCAACAACGTCCATCACGTATATTTCTTGTTCGCCATGGTGAATCACAAGCAAATGCTGATACAAGTAAAATAATTGTTTTATTTTTTTGTTTTAATTTCATATATTTATCTAAAATAGCATTATATGCTCGTATGGCTGATCATCGAATTGAATTAACAGAAAATGGTCATGAACAAGCAGTCGAAGCTGGTAAAAAATTACGTTCAATTATTGGTAAAGAATCAGTTTATGTTTATATGAGTCCATATAAACGTTCGAAACAAACTTGGGCAAATATTCGAAAAGCTTTTTCACCATTACAAATTATAACTGAACGTGAAGATCCACGTATACGTGAACAAGAATTTGGTAATTTAGCTGATTTAGCAACTCGACCAAAAGAATTTGAACAACAAAAACATATTGGACATTTTTTCTATCGCTTTTCTTCCGGAGAAAGTGGAGCTGATGTATATGATCGTGTTTCATTATTTCTTGATACATTATTTCGTGAATTAGATAATGGACATCATGATCCAACACAAAATATTCTTATTGTTTCACATGAACTTTTTATGCGTTTATTTCTTATGCGTTATTTTCGATGGACTACTCATGACTTAGATAATTTAAAATCATTTCATAATTGTGAAATAGTGGAACTTAAAAAAGTTGATGGTGTCTATACGCTTGATGGCCGAACAAAACCTCCAACAAAAACATCATAAGAAAAAAAATGACTTTTGTCTTATATTTTAATCAAATTGTCTAAAAAAAAAGAAAAAAGACTTTTTTTCCAAGGAAACTATTACTAATAAATGAATTAGACTTTCAGCATTAGTAATTGTATGAGTCATTTCAATGCCAATGGAAATATAAGAAGAAGAAATCGAGCAGCTGTATGCCGACAAAGTTAATATTCACGTCAAAGGTGTAGAGAAAGATAGAAAAAAAAATGATTTGCTAGGACGCTGCCGATAGTCACATAAGTGTCTTTTTTCTCTCGCCCTCCGTTGTTCGTCATAAAACGACCGTTTTCTCTCCTAATATTTTGTATTAGAGGAGTCCTTCCGTTCTCTTTAAAGAAAAAAAGTACTAGTGCATTTCTTTCTTTCTTTTTTCTCTCACGCAACATTTTAACTATATATATATAAATACAATCTGAGAAACATAGTGTCATTTTTACGTGTGATAGTTCTTTTTTTTTAACAGTTGATTCTTGACAACTAAAAAAATCAAATACAATGGGTTTTGCTGAGCGTTTTCCTCGATGGACTTCAGCAGTTTTAGCAATTATTCAGTTAGCCTTAACTGCTGTAATTATTGGTCTTGAAATTAAATCAATCTTTATTGATCTTGCTCATGGAACAATTTGGGTTGGCTTTTGGGCTAGTCTTATCTTTATTAAGACATTAGTTATGATGCTTTTCATCAGTGAGTTTAGTTCTATTTCATTTGTATTTATTATCATCTTTTTTATTTCTAGCATGCTGCTGTCGTGGTCGTTGCTGTGCTACCTATGTTCTTGCATGGAACAGTAAGTTAAGAGATGATCTTATTTTCTAATAATTATTCTCTTTCTTTTTTCAAGTATTCAGCGGTATATTGGCTTGTGTTACAATATACTTTGATCGCACTTTCATAAATGATCCTTGTAAATGTTATTTGGGTGACAAGTTATGTTGTGCTGTTCGCAGTGTTGACTCATTTCGAACGAATTACACAAGTATCTTAGATCAATGTGGCCAAGCAATTGCAAACAATGATAAAACAGCATTACAGTGGTGTTCAACAGGTAGTCCACCATATGATAAAATACAATATTTAAAAGCTCAACTTGGTTGTGCAGTTGGAATGTTAATATCATGTGCACTTTATGTTGTTATCTATATCTTTGCTTGCCTAGGTATTTGTTTTGGTCATGATTAAAATTTAAAACTAATAAATATCCGTCCGCTTATAATTTCTCATATCAATATGTTCTCGAATAATAAGAATAAATAGAGAATCAATTAATGAAAGTGCTAAGAAGCACATATGCTGAAACGTTATAATATATAAAATGTTATTATTAATATTGAATTTAGAAACAAGAATATAAAACATAACAAATTGATATATTTGAAGTATATCATTGTATGGATTACTTTATTTTTAAAATACAACAAAGAATTCAGTTAATAATTATTCTTCATATAAATAAGTAATATCGAATGATTTCTTGTGCGTAAAAGATTAGTCATATGGTATTCGTAATACTATTAAATGGTTATTAAAAAGAAATTAACTAAAACTTATATATATTCGAAGTAATTTTTTTAATTTATCTGTTTCGGTAGTAATTAAATTCATCATATATGTTAACATTCCAAAAAGGTCATCAACTCATTGATCATATTCGAGAAAAAATATTAATTTCCATTTCTTTTTCTCCCTTTTTTTGACAACCAATATTGACTCGGCAACAATTTAATGGAATAAAAAATGAGTGAGATGTCAAAACTACAAACAGTAACCAAGGTGAAAAAACAAAAAAATCATGAACTGACTAATATACTTTGGCAAACAAAGAGTAAAAATAATTTTACATGATATTATCAGAAAGCATTCGAAAAACAATACCCTTCAGCCAGTTAACTTAAAACATGTTTCCTTTCATTTATACGAAGAATAATTCACTATTTTCATTTTTGTTTAGAACGTAATAAAATTTAAAAATTCTTTTCTAAGTATAAACGAGTAATCATGAAGATATTTTAAGAATATATACTTGAATATCTTAAAGTGCAATGTTTTAATTCATTTTGAATACTTATGTTTTACAAAGAAAATAATCACAAGATAAGGAATGTTTTCTCAAGACTTCCGTATTTTACGGTACGATCGTAAAGTTCTTAATTTTTATGGCAATGCATCGATAGTCAGAATGATCAGATAAAAAAACTCAATGCTGTATCAACTGTCTGTTCATTACCTGATTAAAATTATTATTTAATTTATCTAATAATAGACGCGTAATGTCTGACTATTTTATTAGAATCAAAAGTTCATTCTTAAAGAAAGTACGAATGACAAACAATATAGATATATTTAAATCAAAATATGTGTATAAAATTGTTCATAGAAATCATGAGTTCATTTTTATTCTAAGGACAACATCAGCTAATTCTCTATTCATTCAAAACGAATACAATAATGTGATTATAAAAACTACTGATTTTGCTAACAAAACTGTGACACAGTAAAAAAAATACCAAAATCAAAAGAGCAGAAAACAATCAGAAAGGATGCAAATTTTTCAGGAAATCTAGTTGCTTTAACCACAATGCAGTTCTTGATATTTGAGTATGTCCTATGTATATTAAACATAAAAGTTTTCTAATAGCTAACAATAAAGTAAGTTTTTCTATTGAAGGTAGATGTGAATGAAAAAATTCTTTTGGTTTATCTGTATTCATACGTTCACTGTTAAGACAGGATTAAGACGTGTGCACTCGATGTCATAATAAAATAAGACTTTAAGAAATCCATAATAACGTATCAACTATTCAGAAAATTTTTTTTTTATAACTATTTCTTTTGCTTATTAATAGAATTTTATGAACCCACTGACGTTTTCAACATAATAATAATTTTTATTATAATGATCATATAGATAAAAAAATAATTAATAAGAAAACCTTACAATTTCATAATCGAGTGATCGACTAATAGCTTGAATTTAAATGAAACAGAAAATATTTGATTAATCATGAAAGAAAAAGAAAAATATTGTAACTGTTTTTAACGTAAAAAGTATTAGTATAATATTTCATGTTATTTACGTAAATATACTTATTTTTTTCTCAAGGTCATGGCAACGGACTTTAGAAAAAGTTAATTACTAAACATGAAACTGGAGATTTCATTGAAATGGCATCAGCTGTTTATCGTTGATTTTCCTATTATATCTCTCAATAGTAAACAAATAAAATTTATAGTATCGTAATTCTTTTCTTATATAACTGACATCTGTCTTTTCGTTATTTCAAATTGTTTCTTCTGTTCGCGTGTATTCATTCTTTGTTATTGTTAACTATATATAAAAGAAACATTATCAAAGATTGATATAAGAAAGATGACATCATCACTATTAAATGAAATTAAAATGGAAATCCGTTCATTACTTATATCATCTCAAAACGGTCTTCTTGAAAATGAATTATGTCGAGATTATTCTTTATTTAATAGTCAACGTTCATTACCTTATCAAACTTTTGGTTATTTAACAGTAACAGATTTTCTTAATTCATTAAATGATATTTTATATCGGTCACCAGATGGATATATTCATCCTATAGTTGATCAATCAACTAAACATATTTTTAAACTTGTTCAACAACAACGAACAAAGAAAAAAACGACAAAGACAAAAATCAAACAACAAGAATATAAACATATTCAACAATCAAAAGTTAGTGAAATACAATTTAATATACATATGTTTTTTTTTCTAATGATTTATAGGCAATAATTACTTGTAATAAACAGAAGAGAGCTGTTCCATCGATAATTACTTCGTCTCAACAAATGTATCGTGCAGATGACATCATCAAGCCTTCGCCGATGGTGAAACAGATGAAAATAATGTATGAAAACAAGGTTAAAAAAGAGGCACAATCATTTGTTCGATTAAAATCAACAATTAAAGATGCTGCTCCAAAATTTGAACAAATTAAACTTACAAATGATTTTTTACGAAATCTTCTTATTCATTTTCAACGACAACAACAATAAAGATATTAATTTTCTTTCTTTTTAAATATTTTAAATATGTAAAATTTCCGAAATTAGATATGAAAAATTAAATATAGTAGTACTTCTTTTTAATAATAAAAAAAAATCTTTTAAAGCTTCTATTAAATATAAACCTATATCAACGATTTAATACTCTGATATTATATTGCAAAAACTTCTATTCTTTGTACCATAAAAGAACAACTATAATGTGTTGATTTACAGAACAGAAAAGAAAAAAAAAGCTGATGCCTACTACAGGGATTGAACCTGTGACCTTCGCTTTACGAGAGCGACGCTCTACCACTGAGCTAAACAGGCACGTTAATCATAAGAAAAAAAATCTTGTCATCAGTTTTACTCGAACATATATTCAATTTTTCTTTCTGTCACTATTCTGTTAGTTCGTTTATGAAGCTCCACAATATTGAGAGAAAGACATCGATACGAATGATTGAATCATCATATGCAAATATTGGAAGAAAAAAAAAAGCGAGGGAGACCTACCCGCTAAATGACCTTTTTTTTCGTACACATCTATATATACAACTACTCGTTGCACAGAACGAATGTCTGCATAATACAGTTGTTGACATTTGTAGCAGTAACGAGAAACATTTCTCAACTACGTTTGTACAATCATAAGTAAATATGAAAAAAATTTTAGTTCTTTTTATTGCATGTCTTTTTATCTCAGGTAAGAAAAAAAATACATAAATGTCAAACAAAATAAATCAATATATTTATTCTAGTAACTGAATCAAATCTTCGTCGTCGACGACAATATGGTGGATATAATATAGTTCAACAATATGACAATCAATATGGACTTTATGGTCCAGGTGGTCAAGGTTGGGTAAATAATTATAATAATCGTTATCCAAATCCAAATTATGCTTGGAATAATAATTGGAGTTGGAATCAAGGTAATCGACGCCCTGAATGGTATTATAATTCATCAAAAACAATTCAACCATCAATTTTTTATTCTCTAATTTTTCTATTATTTTCTTTTTTCATTTGAATAATTAAAAGAAATGCAAACATTTTTTTTCCCTCTTTAATTTATGAAACCATTCATATTATAATTCCAATAAACAAAAGAAAAACATCAATAAAATCTCAAGGTTACACTTTATATTTCGTTAAATAATTTATTAATAATCAGTTAGAAATTTACCATAGATTTTTTTAATCGTTTGTTAATACTATTGATACAAGTCATCGATCTCATTTTGTATTGATGGATTTACTTCAAATTCAAACGTACATTTGATAATTTAGTTTAAAAGATTGCTTTCAAATTCTTCTGTGGCTTATAGTATTAGATTAATTCTTAATGATAATTTAAAACATATTCGTATCAATACTTCTGTTATTCGGAGATATGATGTTGGAAGAATAAGCTTTATCTGAAGTGGTTCAAAATATATACTCGAGTTTCGAGTGTATAAAATAATATTTTTCTAACAAAAATCTGAACATAGACTTTCTTAATGATCGAAAGCTTATAAATACTACGCGCACATCTTTCATAAGTTGATAGTTTTATTTCTTTCTATTTTTAATGATGTAGAAAATGTATGAGTGTGACGTCATCCGCATCTTTCCTCTGAAATTTAATTATTTATCTGTTTAATTTCCTTTTTTTTGCCGGAAAATTGTGTATTTTATTTATATGAATGAGTTTAAATCGAGTGGAAAAAGAAAATCATAAAATTTGAAACTATACAAGACGAAAAATTTCTCGTTTTTGCTTTCTTCTAGATTTTAAAATCGAATTTATCCATTTGATGAAAGAAGTCGATTAAAATCTGTATAACAAATTTCAAGATCCATTTGAAATTGACGTGCTTGTTCATCAGTAATTTCATCGGCTGCATTCATATTTGTTAATATATTTAACCTATCAATAAATATATAGATTTATTGTAAAACAATATTCTAATTACCATTTAGGAAGTTTTTCTCGACCAACATAATTCGCAGGAATTAGATTCATTCGATTGATAACATCTAATAATTCTCGAACATCTGTTTGAAGCTTAAAAAATATTATAATTATTAATTTATTCTCCATTCTTAATTTATCTTACCATATCATTTGCTCGAATATTTAATTTAAGTTTATCCATCAAATTAATGAGAAGCTATAGGAGAAAAGAAAATTTATGTAATAAAAACAAAAATCAATTTTTTTGTTTTACCGAAACAGTTTCTGCAATAGCTTTACCCATATTACCACGATCATCACGAACAGTTATTGGACGACCTTCACGGATACGTAGAATAGCTGCTGGACAATCAAGCTAAATGAAATATATAATTAGATGATAATATTAAGAATAAAATTTACTTTATATTTATGAACAAAATCTTCAATACGAGGAAATTCACTCTCAATTTGACGAAATGCAGCTGTATATTTTGCTAATAATTTTTCACAATGTTTTGTATATCTAAATTAAGAATAATATTTAAAATATTTTATATGATTAGTTTTTGTTTACTCTGCAACTTCAACAACATCTTTTATATAAGCTTTTTCAAGTGCTTGTAATGTTGTTATTATTGAAAAGACATCAGCCATATTATCATATCTAAATCAATCAATGAATTACAAAAGAATATAATTTTGCAAAGTTTTACCGTTCACGTTCACGAGGATTTTTCCATAAACGCACCTCCTATGAAAGAGTAAATAATTATCAATAAATCTAATGAATATATTCATAATCTTACCTCGTACATTTCAGGTTTATTGCTACCTGAAACAGAAACAGAGAACAATTAAGCGTTTTTATTGAGATTAATTTATCAGTTGAATAAAAAATATGAATGATTTTTAAACTTATACATTTTCAATCAGGAAACATATCTGATAAGATATTATCTATTTGTAGTGTTATTAATAAATATGAAACTTTATACTTCATCGACTGATTTCTTTTGTACAATTTTTACAAAAATTGACTTTCTGTTTCATCAGGTTAAATGAACAAATTCTCGTTTATTTGAAATAGTTTCTCGTTCTTTTATTTTCAGTCAATTACAATGAAATATCATAAATTTTATCAACTTACTTGTTGGAAAACTCATTCGATTAAATAATAATTGCAATAAAATCTACAATAAAAATATTACTTATTCAAATTATTGAAAAAGAAGATAATTTCTTTATTTATACAAAACATTAATCAAATTCTTGACAAGATATTTAATAATCATTATTATTCATTGAATTAGATATCATAGTTATATGCTACTATAAACTAAATATCAAGTTGAATCTTATCTTTGAATATTTTTAATTTAGAGGTTATGAAAGTTTTTTCCTATAGGATAGAAAATAACCAATAGACTAATGTTCCTATATCATGCCATGAGATATTGTCATGAGTCAAAAAAAAAAGATTATTTTATATTCAAAGAGAATGTTTAGATAACATATGGTCACAGTGGATCGACTTGTATTACTCTCAACAGCATTATTTGCTACAGCTGCCTTACTTGTTCTAATTAGTATTTCAAGACCAAGATGGATTTTGTCTGTCAATCAAGGTATAATAAAAATATGAATGCCTAGACTTTTTTTTTCTTCTCTCTCTTTTCTTACAACTTTTTTTAATGATGACGTTATTCTTAAAAGAAAAACATCGTTTACATATTCTGAGAATTTTTAATTTTATGATAAAATAATTAGTTTATAAACTGAAATTCATATACAAAGTAATAACAAATTATATTATGGTGTGATTTAATTAGGAGAGAACAAGATAGTTGTTATGTGTTTTTTTTGGTAAAAGAGAAAAAGGTTATAAAATGCATTTTGTCCTGATTAAACTATAGATAAGATGAGATAATTGATAAATACACTGTAAATATTAACATGAATATGAATGTATCATATTTGATTAAAACCTATCTTCATTTCTTTAAATCGGTGAATAAAAACAAATTTTTCTTTTGTAGGCGAAACATCTCTTGGTCTAATTGAAATATGTACAATATCATCATTAACATCCAATGACCAGAAATGTTTTGTACCACATAATATTCGTTTTGTATGGGTTTTATCATTTGGTTTGGCTATTGGTGCTCTTGGCCTTCTTACATTAACTATATTCTTATTTCTTGTTTCACAATATATACAAATATCTGCTATTGAATATGGTCGACTAACTGGATTTGTTGCTAGTAAATTGTTTTTTTATTTATATAAAAAAGACAAAAAAATGAATTCGTCTTTGTTTTTAGTGATTTTTTTATGTTTATCGACAGTTCTTTTTCCAATGGGTTTTGATGCAGACATCATTGGTGGCTCACCATTTCAATTACCAACTGATTATCGAATAGGCTCAAGTTATATCGCATTTGTTGGAGCAACTTGGCTATCTGTTGTTTCAGCAATAATTACAGGGAAAATGTGTTTACCAAGATTTGTAGCATAATTGATTTATATATGATTATTTTGATATTATTTTTTGTCTTATATTATAATCTCAGTTCATTTTTTTTTAATTCTTTTCTGTCGTCTAGTCAACAAAATTCATAACATAATAAGAATTTTTAGATAATAGAAATGACCGTTGATTTAAGAGCATCACGTCGAATATTACCTGCACCTATGATTGATCGTTCATCTTATTCAATATTTTCAGTAATTAAACAAGCAATTGGAAAAGATCTTACCAAATTTTCTATACCTGTTGTTTGGAATGGTAAAATTAATAAAAAAAACTTTCATGTTTTTAAAATTCATTTTTATTCGATTTTTAGAACCTCTTAGTTTTCTTCAACGTTTAGCTGAATGTATAGAATATTCATCTTTACTTGATCAAGCTGCATTAACTAATAAACCTGTTGAACGATTTCATTTGTTAACAGCTTTTATTGTTTCAACTTTATCAACGAATCTTGAACGAATGTCAAAACCATTCAATCCATTATTAGGTGAAACATATGAATTAAAAATGGAAGGTGATACACCATTTCATTATATTTCTGAACAAGTTAGTCATCATCCACCTGTATCTGCTCTTTATATTCGTGGACAACATTGGACTTTATCTGCAAATGTTGAACCAAAAGTTAAATTTCAGGGAACAAATGTTGTAGCTGTATCAGAAGGTTAATACATTTTGTTAAAGAACAATTTATTTCTAAACAATACTGATAGTTTTTAGGTCGATGGATACTTCGTATAAAGAAAATAGTTCCAACATCTCGATCAGCATCTCAATCAAGTTTTCAATCATGTACTGAAGAAGATGATGAACAAAATAGTAATGTAAATAATCATTCTGATGAAGAAGATGAATATACATGGACATCACCATCTATACTTGTTCATAATATTTTATTTGGTCGTCTTTGGTGTGAATTTCAAGGAGAATTCGATTTACAACATACACAATCAAATCAACGATCTGTTCTTACTATTAAAACACAATCATGGTTATCATCACAATCAACTAAAACAGCGAATATGTTTAAATATACTGGTTTCATTTATGATGGTAAATATCATCTATTGTTTTTATTATTTTAAAATTAAAAGCAATATAATTAATCTTATCTTTTACTCTAGGGAAAGATAAACTTGGTGCATTTCATGGTAACTATGGTCATTGTTATTATGCTATTGATAATCTAGAAGATGCACAATTTAAATCATCTTCTTCTTCTTGTTGTTCAGCCGGTGGTCATAATTGTATTCATATTAATACAACTGCAACAGTATCATCCCCATGTGATCTTATTCTTACTCCGTCATCACGTCTTATTTGGTTTCGATCTCTTTCTCTAATGAATGATAATGAATTAGCATTAAGATCTCAATATTATTTTTTTACTCCATTTGCATTGTGTCTTAATGAACAAGTATCTTCTGTAGTACTACCATTAACTGATAGTCGATATCGACAAGATATTCAATATCTTGAAAAAGGAAATACAGATGCAGCTGCAGCAGAAAAACATCGTCTTGAAGAACAACAACGTGCTGATGCAAGAAAACGTGATAATGAACATCAACCGCTATGGTTTAAAAAAGATGAGAATGAAGAATATGTTTATACAAATGAGTATGACCAAAGACAGTTTAATCATTGTCCAAATCTTTTTTCTTCATAATCTTGTGAATAAATATTTATTTCACAAGTATATAATGATTTCTTTGTTTTTTCTTTCACTTGTCGTATTGCTATATTTATGTTCAGCTCAAGTATTTTGTTTTTGTTTATTATATATTTATATTAGTGTTTATTATTCAAATACATTAATTGGAATGGAAATTTATATTCTAAAACGAAAACTTGTATCGTAAATTATTCTGCGAATCTTTGAATGATTTTAATAAATACAAAGCATTTTGTCAAAATCTCTATGACAGTCGTGTTAAAATCAATTAAAATTTAATAAATCTACATGAATTTCAAATAGTTTTTGTTTTCGTCAACTTCCTTCTTTCATCTATAGATCGGCGCAAGTTCATATCATATATTAGATATGGAAATATTTCGTAGCATAATCAGATAATAGCTTTCCTATAATATCTCTTGCATTGCTTCAACATTTCGTGGCACAATGTAAAAAAGGTAGTAGAATCATAAATTCCGATTGTATGACGAATATTAGAACGAACACTGAAGAAATATCTTTGCATACCTTTTTGTGAAACACGAATTAAAAGGAATGTTGAAGTGTTTAGGGGTAGAAATTTGGATCCACTCCCCCCGCACAGACGTGACCGATACATGCTCTTTTGACCTCGTCACCGACGTGACCGACAGGGCATCATAGGC